AGCATCAGCTAATCTGGAAAAGAACAGTGGTTGGATCAAGATTTACTCATACCTGTAGTGCACCCACTGATACCAATGAGAAGTTAATTCCAAATAGTTTAAATCCCACTGAGTTTAATGAGGCATTTACTAAGGTTTCATCCTCTATTTTCTTTGTGGGAAGAATCTGTCTGCTATATATCCTCCCTCCGCCCAGGTTTGTCTTTTTCTTCCTTTCTATATATTCCATTATCCAAGCACAAGCTGACACTGTGCTTTATAGCTGCAAAATAGAGGCATTGCAACCATACTCTAGACTTCCATTCCAGTTTGTTCCACATCTGAAATTTAATAGCTGACTTTCCTTGCTGGAAAAAAATGAAGATGAAAATGACTGGAAAACACGGAGACATGATGTTGTAAAAAGGGCTCTCCAACTCTTGATGGATCAAGACAACACAATAAATGCCTTGTGTAGAGAAGCCCCAGCAGGCCTAAATTTGGATCCAAAAGTAGTTGTTTTTAAGTCCAAAAACCTTTACCTAAGAACAAAAGAAGGGTCTTGCAGGGACAGACCAAAGAAAGGCCTATTCCATTATTCTGTTTCCCATGGTAGCCAATCAGATGTTTATGGGATGCCCCAAAGGAGAACACAAGGGCAATGATTTGCTTATAATCAGCACTGTACTTAAATAAATAGTAACTTCCTTAAATTATCTCTTATATTCTGCAATGTGATAGCTAAAGGGAATCTTTTGGAAGGATGACTAAAGCGTGGAAGGGGTGAAACTGAGTTAGGAGGAAAATTGTGTGGGCAGATTGAGTGGGTGGAATTTGGAGCAGAACCAATGAATGGGTTGTATGTCAGCTGTCACAGATTTTATTTTATTTTTAATACAACATACAGAGTTGTCTAATAGAGAGGCAGGTCCAGCTAACCCAGTATTGTTTGCTCTCACGGTCAATGCATATCTACTCCGCAAAGGACACCCCTTTGCTTTGGAGTGCTCAGAGAGGACAGCCCTTTGTTTGAAAGGCTTCTGTCTGATGGGCTGTTCAGTCTAAACCTGGTTTAATGGCAGATAACCATAAAGAGGGAGAGGCAGGGGACTGAATGTTGCTCACCCAGTGCAGACAGGTAGTTGAACAGGCAGAACAGGCAAACACAGTCTTCTCCACTATGGCAGGATATATTTCTATTTAAATCACATTTTAAAAATTATACCAGTATATGCAGTTGCATGTGCAAATATCCAACCTCGTGCTCTTCCCTGACCTCTTTCTTGGTGGCCATCTCGCCAGGGTCCTAGGCAGTGTTCTTTCCCCGGTGACCTGCAACACGATCTTTTTGCCTGGACACAGAACTGATGTTCTTCTACATATCAAGCATACATGCTCTTCCACTGAGTCACAGCCTTTTCCCAAGTTTATACCATATATACTAGCATATAAGATGATCCTTGAAACTGGAAATAGCAAGGCAAAAGTCAGGGGGTCATGCTATACGCCAGGTAAAAAAAATTCATCAGATAGTAGGACTCCCATATCTGTGGGAGAAAGGTTTAAGCCCCCAGCAGTTTCCTGACACTTCACGACACCCATGAAAGTGGAAAAACCACAAATATCTCTGGGGACGCCGGTGTGAAGACTCTAGGTATATTTGCGGGTTTCTTCGAGAGAGATTTGCTGCTTTTTTCTAGAGATGTACCCATATATAACCGGCATATAAGAAGACCCTTGAAACGGGAAATATTGAAGCAAAAATTGGGGGTTGTCTTACGTGCCCAACATATGACAAACACTAGAAAAACAGCCCAAATTATCAACTTCATCTTCTATGCAAGTCGCCTTATATGCCAGTATATATGATGTTCTATTAGAAATAGAAAAATGTTTTTTTTCTAAGAAACAATCTGGAGCTGTCATATTAAAGCTTTAAAATTATGGGAGGGGGCATTGTTCTTGGCTGTGGGCCTTTACCCAGAGCAAAGAGAGCAAAAAAAAAAAAAAAGCCCAGTTTCAAAGAAAAGAGGGGAAAGTGTGTACAGAAGTATGGCTATAAATGCAAGGTAGAAAAAAGTTACTCCAACTGAAATAGCAATACAACTCATCTCACTCTGGTGGGAAAGGAGTAGTTAGCCAATCTGAGTGCCTGCATTCTCTGCCCAGCTGCTAGTAGCTGATAGGCACCTTCAAGGACTGCGGGGTCTCCTTTCTTAGAGTTCATTATCTTGAGAGAAGTCTTGGATCAGACAGCCTTCTGACAGGGGATGCGTTCAGGCAGAAGACTGGCTGCTAACAAACCTTTACGCAGAGGTCTGCTTTCTGTGAAGTGCTGCTGTGCACCAAAAGGTCTTGTGCAGCTCTTTTGAGTCTTCTTTCGCAAGTGATATTTTGCCTACTAAGCAAAAAGACGACTGAAGCCATGGGGAGACGCAGGGGGCCTTCCAACTGAAAATGACTGTGGACATTGTGCAAATGGGCAACACAATCATAGAATCAAAGCTTCATCTGGAAGCATCCATAATATTCCCTTTGCCTGCTAGTTTTATGTAGGAACTGTGCCATTTCCAGCAATGTAAAATTTGGTGGGCAACTGGACAGAGGAACATACCTCTGAATAAGCCCTTGAAACAGTTGATGCTTTTGCTGCAGTGTTGCATTGAAGCACAAGCCTAGTCAACATAGGTGATCAGTAGCTGCATGCAGGCGAGTGCATGAGATCGCACACAGATGTGTGAATGGGCTAGAAGAGGCAGGGCAGAGCCCTCTGCCCTTCTTCTGCCAGCTAGCAATATGCTAATAAGCTAGCAACCTTTGTGGATTTATTTGCCAGGCTGGGTCAAATATTTATTTATGTATTTTTTGCATTTGTATACCACCCCAATAGCCCAGAGGGCTCTCTGGGTGGTTTACAAACATTAAATCCCCACCAATCCTAAAATAAAAAAAAATAAGGGAGTTACTACTATATAGGCAGAGCTACTAGAGATCTACTTATTGCTCAGCTGCATCACAGATGAGGAGGACAGGCCTTCAGTCGGAAAGCAGGAAAAGTAGAAAGACCTCTTCAGTGGGAAAGCACTCCTTCTCTTACCTGCTGTTGGTGGTAATTTTGGACCCCTTTCCAGCTACTGTTTTTTAGAAGGCTCTAAGGTGTGTGTGTGTCTCACTATCTGGATAAAATTATCTGGGTTCAAATAAAGCTGGGTTTAATGAATTTCACCTTTTCCTCCATAATCTGAGCACTTCATAAATGCTACTTAATTCATAGCTGGTCACATATCTGTTTCTTTGAACTCAGCTTTGCATTTAATCTTTCTGAATCTTGTAATTAAGCAAGGTTTAGAGAAACTCATCATTATAACTTTGTGTATGCCCTCCTGAACCTGGTGCCCACCAGATATGTTAGACCAGAACTCCCATCATCCCCAACACGGACACTCACACTAGGATGGTTGGGGAAGTCTGCTGAAGATCCTGATCAAAAGCAGACTTTAATTCCTGGCCATGGGAGCTTGTTTATCACATAAAAGTCACCTTTTATGTGATAAACTGTGAGGAAGACTACTCTTTCAGGCTGAGACCTCTGGAGAATGGTTTCTGCTCAGAGTGTGCAAGGCTGAGCTAGACAGGCTAATGGTCTAGTTCAGTATAAGGCTGTTCTGAATCTTAATTTAAAAAAACCTGCAGCTGTGCTTCTCAACTTTCCAAGGAATTATAGCAGATTGGGCAATTTATGGCCCTCAAGAAATTCCGGCCTACAACTCCCTTCAGCTTTCTTCAGTAGTGCCAATGGCAAGAGAGGTTTTGGATGGTAGACCAAAGCACCACAAGATGCTCACCTTGGAGTATAGAAATCTACATTATCCCAACTCAGACTATAGGTTGAGACAGCACAATAACCCACACTCAAGGGTTGAGTGAAACATGGATTATTGTGTTGTGTGAACCTAGCTGTACTAACAAAATTTTGTTAACCCATGGATTTCAACCCATGAAGATATCTCGTGGTTTATTGCCCAATTGTGGACTATTGATTGTGGTTACTGGTTTGCTAGCATGGCCGGGTGCAGAGAACACAGTAACTCATGTCTTAATGCTAACCCATACTCAGCCCTTGAATATGGGTTGTTGTGCTGTCTGAATGCAGAAATGGCTGCTCTTGACTACCAGCAGCTGTTTGGAATCTCAGGCAAGGGTCTTTCACATCATCCATTCTCTGATCCTTTTTAAACTGGAAACACAGGAAATTAAACCTGTATTCTTCTGTGCAAAGTGTTTCACAACTGATTTATGGCCTCAATAGATACAATAACCTCTCCATCTTCCTCCTCTCCAGTTAAATGTGTCATAAATTTGTTTAGTCACAAAGATGTGCCCAACCCATCACGAATCCATATACAACATTCCTCCAGGCTCTTCTGTCCTCCACCATCGCTCGGAGTCCATTCAAGCCCATACCCACTGCCCCAGTGACTCCATCTAGCCACCTCATCCTCTGCTGTCCCCTTCTTCTTTTGCCATCTATTGTTCCCAGCATAAGGCTCTTCTCCAGTGAGTTGTTCCTTCTCATTAGGTGGCCAAAGTATTTGAGTTTCATCTTCAGGATCTGACCTTCTAAAGAGCGGTGTCATAAATACAGGCTTTAAAAATGGATAAATCAATCAGTATGATCTATTAACTGAGCTGGGAAGGAGATCGTGCCCATTTCTATCCCAGATTGCAGGTTTACCCATAAGAAGACAGTGGCCACTGAGCAGTGAGAACCAAGTCTGTGCCTACCCACATGCTCAACACATGAGACAAAACCCAAGAATTGGGTCTCATCTACCTGGTTGCCTTTATATGATGCTTTCAGGCAGAAGTGAGGGACCTGTGGCCTTCCCATAAATCTGATAACTCTTAATGCTGGCTGGGGCTGATGGGGGATAGAGTCTAATAACTCCCAGAAGGCCATAAATTCTCCATTCCTGCTTCTGCATGTGCGGCTTGCCCTCTCACAGCACTTTCTTCTACAGGTGACACCATGTCTGTGATATACAGTGAGGTGGCAGCAGATGAACCCACAACTCACAGCTTCTGGATGGTGAGTGAATGCAAGGGGGGTCACAAAGTGGATTGGGGAGGGAACGGTGGGGCAATGGACTCTTATGGGAGTTACAGTAGTCAAGTCTCAAGAACTTCCTTTGGGTAGAAATCAGTGGAGTTGAGGTTATCTGACATTTAGGGCATGGTGAGGAAGAGAAGTCACTGGGGGTAAGGTGGACACTTATGCATTGTCTAAAAAAGAGGAGGAAATACATCTCCAAAAAAGGTAGTGATTTGCGTAATATTTGCGTAGGCATCTCTATAGATAGATATGCACATCACGTGTAGTGCTATAATCATTATAATCTAAACAGGAATACAGCATAGCTGACTGTAATGGAGAACACTGGCTAGGCCTGCCAGGTTTCCTAGCTGGGCAACTCCCAGGGCCTTGCTTTCCTTTCTCATTTAGTTTGGCTTATTTAGTTTTCTTGGACTGGACAGCCCATCAAACAGAGACTCCTTTAAACAGAAGATTGTCTTCTGTAAACTAGAATGCCCTAGTGGGGGAAGTATTGAAGGCTTCATTCTGGATTTTCCTGAGCATGATGAAGGTTTAATACTAAGGAGCAAGTTACTGATAGCAAACTAAGTTCTTTGAGAAAACAGGGGGTCTGAAAAGGAATTTTGATTGATTTGGGAATAGACTAGCGCAGGGCTGGGCCAGCTTCAGTGCTCCATGACTTACTTGTCATTTGTTAACATTTTAGTCCACCCTTTGTCCACCGATGTGTTTTCAATGTGCTCCTCCATCTTCCATCTCTGGTTTAGCAGGTTTAAGCAAGGAGGTTCAGGGAATGCCTACTCTCTGTTTCTTAGGGAAAGGAATGAGGTTTGGGTAGCTAAACTAGAATCTTTAGGAGACAGAACTCCATGTATCAAGTCAAAGATGTTGTTTTCAAGGGGAAATGCTTCCTCAGCGCTATCTTACCCAACCTGAGTCTGTTCCTCTCCTTGGTTCTCCTGCAGCCCAATCACTACCAGAGCACAGTAAAACGTCTAGATGATGGGTACCGTGTCTGTGACCAGATTGTAGCATGTTTCCAGGAGCGTGCAAAGATTGAGCGCAGCTATGCCTTGATGATGGAAGAGTGGACTCGCAAATGGCAGCCCCTCGTTGATGGGAGTAAGTTGCAAGAGCCTTTTTCTGACCGATAATGTTAAATGTCCAATAATATTTGCGTAATCTATTTTGCTTCCAGAAGCTTGGTTTTGAAAAGGAGCATGGGGCTGGAGATGGAAATGTGGATATATTTTCAGTGTCCATGGATATTGTTGTTTTTGCCTCAAGTATAAAAGGCTTGCCGTCCTGTTTTGTACTTGGAATATATTTTTGGGACTATTCTGCATCTTCTCCTTTGAACTTTCTATGCACCATTTCATTCATTCTTGGTGATGACATGATAATAGAATCTCCTGACCCCCAGACATCAAACCAGGGACATCAAACTATTTCAGCCCAACTTCATACTTTATAATCTTGCAGCAGCATCTTAACCTTTACTGCTGCATGAAGATTGTACTGTGATACAATGCTTAGAGTGCTGGACTAGGACTGGGTTCAAATCCTTACTCAGCCATGATGTTCACTGAGTGACCTCAGCCAGGCCCGTGCTTTCAGTCTGATCTACCTCACAGGGTTGTCGTGAGGACAAAATTCAGGGGTGGGAGCAGGAGACCCATGCAGGTTGCCTTGAGCTCCTTGGAGAAAAGGCTGGTTATAAATATAGCAAATAAATAATAAAATAATGGTATTTTATGTTTCTTTTGTACGCATCTATAGCTTATGCAGGGGACGCATCCTGTGGGCTTCAGAGAAACATCAGCCTGAGTCAACATGCTTTAGGAACTCCTCACATACCTATTTTATGCTTTTCTGGATAAATCCTCTAATATCTTTCCTTTGCCCTTAAACCAAAGATCGAGGCGCTGGTCCTTGCTTTGATTTTCTGCAGATGGGAAGCAGCTATTTGCTGTACAGCCCCTTTCTCTTTTTCTTATGAACTATTAATGGAGTGGTGGTATGTTTATGGGTCACTGGAAGTGTACTCTGCTTTTGTGTATTTAGTTATAAAAAGTAGAAGCTACTTCTTTATCATTGAAGCTGCGGGCATAATATTTTCCTTTGGGGTGGCTTGAACAGCTGTTTTCTTGACCAAAGGAAGTTCACTATAGCAATGAATAAGAACCTTTTCATGAAGGAAGTTTATGCATCATGGCCACCCTTTCAAGTCTTTTGATAACAAGAGAGCTGTTATCATACAGTAAGGCAGTGATAACCAACACCCGTTTTCTGTAGACAATGGTAGGTGGACAGGAAGCCCGCTTTGCCACATATACGGATTCCCTCAGGGGTCAGTAATGAAATTGATACCCTAATTTCACCCTAATTGAGTTAGAGTGCTCAAGCCCAGCTCAAGTCCTACACTAGAGGTAAGGGTGATAAGTACCTGTATGCAGGTGAGTGCATGCGCTTCCACAAAGATGCGCGAATGCGCTAGAAGAGGCAGGGCAGAACACTCTGACCTTCTTCTGCCAACCACCAATATGCTAGTAAAAATATCTGCAAGCTGGCAACTTTTGTGGATTTATATATAATTTTAATAGGCCTCCCTGGGGCCTGGTAAAATGGGTTTGGCCAATAGGCTAGGCCACTTGACTGCCAGCCAGCTTCCCATTTTTGTGGCATGATGCTCGTGGGCCATAGTTCAAGGGTCAGGCCCTTTTCTTCATACCAGCAAAATATGTTTCCTTTTTCCCCTCTACTTTTGTGCTGAGGGAGAAAGTCACCTCGGTGATACAAGGAAGTACAGAAACTGTCACTGGAGGGAACAGTTATTATGTTCATCAGATGGTCTTCACACATGGGCCAGGATGCTTGTTCTCACCCTTAAAAGTGAGGGTTTCTTTTGCAGAATTCAGCAGGATCTGTTTATTTGCCAGATTTTGCTCTCAGGATGGACAAGCTATGAATCCATGCCTTCATGCTATTCATCAGTCCTTCGCTCCTGTACACTCTTTTCCAGGCCCTGCGTACGGCTCCCTGCTGCGGGCCTGGCAGGCATTCTTGGGTGCTTCTGAGAGACTGAGCCGACTCCACATGGAAATGCAAAGGGCTTTGGTCTCAGAAGATGCTGCGCGCATCCGGGCATGGCAACACGACTCCTACCACCGCAAGCTATTTGGGGGCTTCAAAGAGGCCTGTGAGCTGGACAGTGGCTTCCAGCGGGCACAAAAACCCTGGACCAAGAAGCTCAAGAAGGTAGGAGTGGACAGGGTGGGGAGCAAGGCAGGAGAGATCTGATCTTTGGAGTTCTCTGGCAGGGTAAATCAGTGAAGGAAAAGCTTCTCAGGAGAGGAGAAAAGGCCCAATGTGTTGCTTTGGGGTATATTTTTAAAATAAGGAACGTTCCTTCCTTCCCATTGTCTCCATGTTCCAGTCCCACTTGCTTGCCTGCCAGGCCCAACTTTGGAAGAAGCCATGAAATGAGGCTGTCCTGGGATTACTGTTGCTAGCCGGTGAGAGGTTAACACTGCCCATTGGTAGGGTGACGATTTATTCTTTGCCAGATAAGAAAAAAAATACATCAACGAAAAAGAAAAAAATCACCAAAATGTTGTATATGCATAACATTTGCATATATACATAGCTGTGTAGAGATGCAAAGGTAGATATAATAGCTGTTACTCCGATAGAAATAGAATGCATCCTGCCACAATGGAGGAGACCGCACAGGTGACCTGTGTGGGTACTCAGTCTGCTGTCCAGGTGCTCACTGAATGGACAGCTTGAACTGGGGAGCCATCAGAGAGAGGATTGTCTTCTGTAAAGTAGAATACTTCATCCCTAGATATTTTTAAATCCTGAACTTAGTGGTCTTCCTGAGGTCCCCCTTTCAATAGCCATGCATTTTATTTCAGTTGTGAAGCACGTGCGCGCGCGCACACACACACACACACACACACACAGAGTTCATGCTTTCAACTCTTCCGAAATTTGTGTTATATTAGAGATAAAAGACCTGTTTACTACAGTACTTTGAACACGGGCACTTTCACATTTTGCACTCAACTATATCGAAGCACCATCATAATAGAAGGAATAAATCAGCATTTGCTTCTGCCGCTCTGATATAAAACATGTTCACTTGAGCATAAGCACCATCTTGTTTTAGGGAAAGATAATATATGGAAATAAAAATATTAACACGAGCATCCTTAATCATCGACATGGCTGCCCAGCTGCACCATGGAATGCGCCCATTAATGCCCTTGCTAGTCCATGTGCTGAAACGGGACTTCCTTGCTCCTGGCTGGATTACCTGCCACTCTCTGGGTAGTGATTTGGGCCCTGGCCATGGCGTTTGGCCCCAAAATCCAGCTCTGGTTGCACTTGGAGCACTGCCAGCAAATCCCCATTCATGGACGGATGTTGTGTATTCTACCCAGGGCCCTACCCCATATTTTGAGAACGTGGGGGACTAGGAGGAATTGGGAGCCAGGATGCCTGTCCTCTCTGGGGAAGAGCAGTGCACCCAGCAGCGTGCTGACGGTCCTTTCACTCTCCCCCACCCCATCCACGTCTTCCTGCCCACCCTCACCACTTGCACACAGGTCGAGAAGAGCAAAGCTTTGTACCACAAGGCCTGCCGGAAAGAACACATTGCAGCCCTCCGGGAGAGTGGGCTTCAGGCTGCGGCAGGGGCTGAGGTGCCCCCAGACCGGCAACGTGCCCTGCGAGAGGAACATCAGCGCTGCAGCCAAGAAGCCAACAAGGTAAGAGGAACGGCATCACCAGCACTAGAGGAGACCCATTTGCAGAGCACTGGCACGCATCTGTCTCACTCATGTTCAGACATAAACATGTTGTTGTTGTTAGTCGCAAAGTCGTGCCGGGCCCATCGCGACCCCATGGACAACATTCCTCCAGGCTCTCCTGTCCTCCACCATCCCCTGGAGTCCGCCCAAGCCCACACCCGCCTCTCCAGTGACTCCATCCAGCCATCTTCTCCTCTGCCATCCCCTTCTCCTTTTGCCGTCCATCATTCCCAGCATCAGGGTCTTCTCCAAGTGAGTTGTTCCTTCTCATTAGGTGGTCAAAGTATTTGAGTTTCATCTTCAGGATCTAGACATAAACATATGCAAAAAAAATGATTTTTGACCACTTCCATGTTTATACTGCATTTTACACTTTTACATTTTCTGAATTTTTGTGAACTGCCCAGAAAGCTTTGGCAATTCCAGTGTGGTGTGGTGCTTAGAGTATTGGCCCGGGGAACTGGGAGATCCAGTTGCTCATCCCCATTCAGCTCACTGGGTGGCTTTGGGCCAGTCACTCACTCCAAGCCTGTTCTACATCACAGGGTTGTTGTTGCAAGGATAAAATGTAAGTCTGTAAACCACAAGAGGGAAAAAGCCAGAATATAAGTGCAATGTAATCAAATATAGTTTAAATAGAAATATAGTATCTCTCAACATAATGGAGAAGGCTGACTAGGTGATCTGTGGACCAGCTCTGTTTCCTGTTTAGGCATTATTGTTGATGGGTAACCCTGCCTCTCCCTTCTAATGGTTCTATCATCAGTGTTTTAAATTAGTCTTACTTAGAGTAGAGCCATGAATGGCCATGGAGTAGCCTTTCTTAGAAATTAGTCTTACTTAGAGTAGAGCCATTAGTGGTTGCAACTAATTTAAATTCCATTCATTTCAATGGGTCCACTCTAAATAGAACTACCTTTGACTTTAAACCAGAGTTGGACTTAACACCTCTTCAGACAGACGGTCAAATAGAGGACTGTCCCCTGCAAATTCTCCAGAACAGGCAGCTGTCCTCTGTAAAGTAGCATACAATCTGTTCTTAATTTACGCCTTTCATAGATGTTTAATCAGTAGAAAACATCAGTCGAATCCTTGTTGCTCTAAGGAAAAAAGGATTATTACTTGCTAATGTCTGTAGGTCAAGCTGCTGTTGAAGTAGCTTTGAATATGAACCACAATTGACAACCTTTAGGGCAGATTTTAAGTCTGATAAACTGTTCTGGGCCTAACCTAAAGTTGCTGTCAGACTGGGCATGACAAAGGACAAGTAACTTGCTCAGAAGCATTATTTTATTTTACTTGTTAGATTCCCATAGACAAAGCAGAATACAATAGCATGTGACAGCAGAATAAACTATAATATAAAACCATAACAAAACAAAATGAATGTAGTAACCAAGATAAACGTCGGCAGCAACACAAAGCTCTGAAAATTTGGTAACACATTTTTTAAACTGAAGCACTAACAAGCCTAGGGGGAAAAGTCTTCACCTGGCCATGAAAGAGCACAGTAGGTGCCAGGCTTCTCTGGGCAGGTCATTCAACAACTTGGGGACCACCACTGAAAAAGCCCTCTTGATTAATGGGAAATTAAGATGGCAGCAGTTGGAGGCATCCAGTTCAGTATGAAGCAATCCCAGCTGCCAGTAAGAAAATATGAACACATTTTAAAAATAAAATTTGGGAACAGTAGTGTGTCTTGTGGGCACCAAGGAAGCTCTCAGGGGACACTTTGGTACCTGGAGGTATCAGATTGCCTACCTGTGATTTAAACACTTGCCTATGAGTTGCAGGTGACATGAGTAGAGCCTTAAGGAAATTTTTCATCTGGGAATAAACTACGTTCAGCCACTGTGGGGCAACTGGAAGGGAGGAAAGTGACAGGAGACCAGTATAATGTCCATTGGCCTCTTATTGGACGTACGTTCCCATGCAAGGCGTTTGTTCGGCAACCACAAATTGTGTCCAGAGGAACACTTCCTGTCATCCACCCAGAATCTTTTGTGCATCCATTTTGTTGGATGATTCCCACATCCTGGTATTATGGGATGAGCAGAGCAGAATTCTACCCCCCCCCCCCCCCCCGCTTTGGGTACAGCATGCAGAATTCTACATCATACACCCTGTGATGTAGAACAGGCTTGGATGAGTGACTGGCCCAAAGCCACCCAGTGAGCTGAATGGGGATGAGCAACTGGATCTCCCAGTTCCCCGGACCAATACTCTAAGCACCACACCACACTGGAATTGCCAAAGCTCCTGTCGCCCCAGTCCTAGAAAGGGTGCATGTGCCAGAGGGAGCGCGGAGAGCTTCTTGACCGATGCCTCCTTCCAACAGGTGCGCGAGCGCTACGAGAAGGCCCTGCAGGAGCTGGACCGCTGCAGCCCGCGCTACATGGAAGAAATGGAAGCCATTTTTGAGCAGGGGCAGGCCCTGGAGCAGAGGCGCATTACCTTTCTCAAGGGATCCTTTCTCGCCCTGCACCGGCGCCTGGATGTCACCGCCAACCCCAGGTGTGGGAAATGGTTTGTTGAGACGTCGAGAGGCAGCGCCCCAGCCCCTCAGCCCAACCTACCTCACAAGGTTGTTGTTGAGAGGATAAGATTGGGAGGAGGAGGAGGAGGAGGAGGAGGAGGATTATGTAAGCTGCCTTGAGTTCTTTGGAAGGAAAAAAGTGGGGCATAAATATACTCGATAAACAGAAGTGGCTGTCATCTGCCAGTCCCTTAAAAATAAGGAAAAGTTGGTGGGGATCCAATTGGAAATAGGCTGCTGGGCCCAAATGGACAAGTGCCCACCCCACACACTGGTGTCCTCCAGATGCGCTTGGCCACAACTCCCTTGACCATGCTCAATGGGCTGATGGGAGTTGTAGTCAAATGCACCTGGATGTCACCACATTAGGGAAAGCTGAAATCCTTTGGCCCGATCCAGCAGAGTTGTTTTAAGATTCTTTAATTTTTCTCTCCAGTCTTGATAGATGCCACTGGAAGCAACATTGTTTAAATGGGCTTCTGGGTTAACATTACACAGTTGGGATGCTGTGTTGGGTTGGGGGCCTGTCATCAGCTAAAAGGTGGGAGGGGTTATCAGTGCTCCAAGAACCGGGAGTGCAGGAGTTTCCTTTGGCCTCCGTGAACGGTGCAGCTGCAGGCCCCTTGGCAGTAAGGTCTGTTCACTTCCAGTTGTGTGTTGCACTCTAGATCTTTTAATGGTTCTATGACTGCAGTGCCCTCCAGATGATTTAGGCTTCCGTTCCCATCACCTCCTGCTATCATGTCAAATGGGCAGGAACTCTGGAAGTTCAAAACATTCAAAGGGCACTAGGTTGGGGAAGGGTGCTGTGGTCGAAGGAGACCTCCAGTCTCCTTTGGTGGGCTCCTAACCACCTCCTAGCCAAGAGACCTTGTGCAGATTTCCCATCTTTTCTTTCTTAACTGATTTTCTGCATTAATAAGCAAGACAGAAGCAGCCATGGTAAAGCATGGGTGGGTGAGCGACAAATAGAAGATTCTGCCCCTCAGCACCCCCACCCCACCTGCTGAAATTCCATGAATGAACCACAGTGATTGAGAGATACAATTCCCATCTGGAAGCACCCACAGCCAAAAAATTCTCCCAGTCTCACACATGGTGCTAAGTAGGAAGGTGCAGAATGCTTTTTGGAGTGGGGATTTTTAAATACCGCTTGACATATTTCCACTTCTTTCCCCCCTTTCCAGCATCCAAGCTGTTTATAGTGACTTGCACCAAGCCATTGAGGATATAAATGACCAGGACGATCTCAAATGGTGGCGTAATCGACATGGACCAGGGATGCCCATGAACTGGCCACAGTTTGAGGTGGGAACCTCTCCCCTCCTTAATGGTGAGAGAAGGGCGCTCTGCGTGTTCTAAGAGGCACTGCCGTCTCCAGTCAGCATTTAGACACAAAGAGAAACCATCCCAGATAATATACAATACTGCTCATGACAGTTTCCAGGGGGAAAAATCTATTACTTGGTTAATGCTAAATTCAATCGTCTTCTCTTCCTTGTACTTTCCAGCAAGAACAAAAAGTTCTTTCTGTCCTCAGGCTCTTTGGGCTGACAATTTATTATTGAGCAGTTACAATGTTTTTGGACATTCAACATGACACTGCAGTTCAGCCAGTGGCTAGGAGGGAATTTCAGACTAACTGGTGACAACAGTCAGACTGAATTTTACTTCTGTTTTTGTCCTTTTTCTGACAGATTAAGCGTGCAATCATATTCATGTTTTGACAGAAAAAGCCATAAAGCTCCCAGCATTCCCCAGTCAGTTGTACTCTGAGTTGTAGGACTCTTTTACTGTGCTCTAAAGAAATATTTGTGTGCCTGTGTGAAATCTGTTTGTTCTTCGCATTCATCTAACATCCTGATCATACCTTATGACTAGGGTTCAGTCAGGGCCATCTTAATGCGTGGGCCTGATGGGCACTTGCCCGTGGGCCCCATACTAATCTGTGCATGTTAACCCTTGGAAAACTGGAAAACTTCCAAAATTAATAGTAGTTGTCGTTGTCGTAGGGGCTCCAGTACACTGCTTTGCCCGGGGCCCATAATGCTGTTAAGATGGCCCTGGGTTCAATGTCATAAGAGTCTGTGAGGAACTTAGAGAGAAGCGGAATAAAAATGGGTTTTAGAGGCTCAGATTTTAAGATTTTACCTCAGATTTTAGTTCAGGAATTGAACTCTAATGAGTTATATGATTCACTGCTATTTTTCTTTCAGGATCAACTATTAGATTTTTAGGATTCACCTAGTATGACTGTATAATACTTCCTGAACATTATCTCTAAGACAAGAAAGCTCTCTGGTTATGCAAAGAACTTCCCCAATCCCATCCTGCATTTTGTGTAACCTAAAAATGGCTCCCAATTGATGGTGAATTATAGAGTCCTAACCAAGGGCCTTTGTTGACTGATAGCTATGTGAAGAGTGCAAAACAGACAAAATATAGAGGAACTAGAATAAAATAAGAAACAGGCCACATGAGCTTCCCTTGGGGCAAAATGCTATTTTATTAAAGCCTCTTACGTATTTCAGTACCATTTTAAAGCTTGCTTCTTGCCAGGGGGCAGCATGAACAGGCATGGCTGAGCACCTGGGTGGGGGCTCACCTGGAGGTGCTCCTCCCTTTCATAACTGACACCTGCTCGTTCACCTACCTTTCACTCTGGCCTGGACAACAGTGGCGGCCAGAAGGAGCTTAGATGCCCCATCACCTCACTCACTGTGTCGCTCTCAGGCAAGCAATGATGAGGAAGAGGAGGAAGAGCAAGAGCAGCTGGTGACAGCAGTGGTGAAAAGGTCAACTCCATGAGGGACAGGCGCCATTGAGAGTGTCTTGCCCAAGGACCCTCCAGAATCTGGAGCTGGCGCTGCGGCTTGCTTCATTCTGTTGACGTAGGCACCAGCCGTCTTGACAGAGAACTTCTGGCTTGAAATCAGGAAATGTGGGATTTTTGCCTTGAAACTGCCCTGCAACCCTGTTTTCCCAGTTGAATAGCTGAGCAATGTTCCTCCCTTGTCCTGTGTGTGACTAGTGGCTGCCAGCCAGCCGCAGAAGCAGCCCTGCCGCTACCAGGGAATTGTCTGTATTTCATCGCCTTCGATTCATTCCTGAACATTGGAACACTCGATATAGTTCTTAAAAATCTTCATCTCCCTTTTTCATGAAACAGCCATTTTGTATCATGAAGTTCTCCTAGCAAATTATGCTTTGCATACTTTTCTCTTTTACCTGCCCTGCAGAGTTGGAACCCTGACCAGGAGCGGCCACAGGTGAAAGTCAAGAAAGGCAAAGAACCAGAGCAAGCAACACTCCGCAGCATCACCCCTTCCCAGAGCAAGTGAGTGTGACACCGCTCCCTGAGAGGTAGGAAGGGCTCTAGACCAGTGGTGGCGAACCTATGGCACGCGTGCCACAGTGGGCACACAGAGCCCTCTCTGCCAGCATGCAAGCCAAGGCGCCCCAGCATCGCCCCAGCAGCCGACACCGGATAACAATGCGCATATGAGCCATGCGCATGCTCGGAAAGAAGTTGCGGCACCAGGTAGTGACATCATGTGCCTCAACTCATTAGCCGTGACTTGTCCGAGCTTTCACATGGCTGGTCAGTGCGCTGCCAAGGATATATAGCTTGGACTGGCTGTGAGTTGTTTTTTCTAAACTAAAACCTCAGTTTTCAGGTTTTGTTGCAGTGTTGGCACTTGGCGATAAACAAGTGGGTTTTAGGTTGCAGTTTGGGCACTTGGTCTGTAAAAAGTTCACCATCACTGGGTTAGGGTTAGAAAAACAAGGTGTCCTGGCATGATTTTGATGGTTGGAATGTATTTAGAATGGGCAGAAATGTTGAGCTCTGCAGAAAAAGCCACTCAAGGAAGGCTTTTTCAAAATCGCCCTCTTTTCAATGGTATTTTACCCCTGTATTAGGGTTAGGGGTGTGCACCAGGGTAGGGTTAGGGTTAGAAAAACGAGGTGTCCTGGCATGATTTTGATGGTTGGAATGTGTTTAGAGTGGGCAGAAATGTTGAGCTGTGCAGAAAAAGCTACTCAAGGAAGGCTTTTTCAAAATTGCATTATTTTCAATGGAACTTTAGCCCTGTATTAGGGTTAGGGTTGTGCACCAGGGTAGGGTTAGGGTTAGCAAAACGAGGTGTCCTGGCATGATTTTGATGGTTGGAATGTGTTGAGAATGGGCAGAAATGTTGAGCTGTGCAGAAAAAGCCACTCAAGGAAGGCTTCTTCAAAATCGCCCCTATATTAGGGTTAGTGGAGTGCACCAGGCTTGGGTTAGGCCAGTGGTGGTGAACCTTTGGCACGCGTGCCACAGTGGGTACGCAGAGCCCTCTCTGTCAGCACGTGAGCCAAGTCGCCCCAGCATCGCCCCAGCAGCTGAACATCGTATAATAGCGCACATAGGGGCCATGCGCATGCTCAGAAAGGAGTAGTGGTGCCAGGCGATGATGCCATGAGCCATGAGTCATTAGCTGCGACTCATCCAAGCTTTCGCATGGCCAGTCAATGTGCTGCCAAGGATATATATGTATTTGCTTGGACTGGCTGTGAGTTGTTTTTCCTAAACTAAAACCTCAGTTTTCAGGTTTTATTGCAGTGTTGGCCCTTTGCGATAAATAAGCGGGTTTTGGGTTGCTGTCTGGGCACTCGGTCTCTAAAAGGTTCGCCATCACTGCTCTAGACTATGGGTGTGGGTAGTGGGAGCTTTCCTAGTACTGTACAAAAATGCTCACGGATGTCTGCTGGGGAAAAGTGTGTGCACAGAGACAATGAAATTAGGGTGTGTTTCGCATGTCCACCAACTTCTAGCAATTTTAGTATACAAAGACACTAATTTCAAGTCCTCACTGCCCTCCCCAATTTTAATTCAAATCAACAGAATTTTCAGCTCTCCCTAAACAACCAGGTGCTTTTTGATGCTTGAAGTGGGGTAGTATCTGACATGGGTGAAGTATGGCCGCCATGAGTCAATGATATTTATTAAAATAAAAGGCTATTAAAATAGAAGAAATGAAGTTATTGAGAAAGGTATAAAGAATCCAGCCTACGCAGCTGGTGAGCCTTCCACATATCTTCCTCATGGAGTAGAAACTCACTGAAAGTATTTGTTGAGTTTAATGATTTTTGGTGCAAATGGAAAGTTCCAGAGTCAATATAATGCAGTGAGCAGTTGGAGCGTTGAACTAGGGTAGATCCAAATGAAGCTCAGTAAGTGACAGAGGGCCAGTTGTTGTCTCTTAGGCTAGGAGTATGGAACTTTCGGCTTCGGCGAATGGGGCGGCATAAAAATGTTTTAATAAATAAAATAAAAACCTGAGGCCAGGAAGCCAATTTTCCAGAGCGCCATGCCACTGGCCTCACCTCCACCCCCTGGCCCTACCCCTGTTTTCCCAGCTGTTGAGGGTGTTGTCATTTACCAGGTTTTATGGAGTTTTCCCCCATCCTAGAAGGTAGCAATGCCTGTCCTGAGCATTTAAGCTATAATTAACCTAGCTGTGTTTTTGGACCCATCCCTTTTGCCTTCGGCTTTGTCCGCCACTGGAATGCAGCTTTGGAGAGCTTCTCCAAAACTGAATTTGGCCCGTGGGCTGAAAGAGGTTTCTTACCCTTTCCTTAGCCTGGCCTACCTCACAAGCTTGTTTTCTGAACAAAAGAGGAGGGGAGGAAGAGGAGGAGCAAGAGCAACTGGTGACAGTGGTGAAGACAAGGTAGATTCTCCCAGGAAGGCGGCCCATTGTGGGTTCCTTGCCCTTGGGCCCTCCCAAACCTGGAGCCGCCACTGGATGACTAGTTGTGCTTAAACTTGTAGTTATTGCATCTCGCTTCCTGTGATGTCACGTGGAATGCAAACCTCAAGTGACATTTCCCCAGGCAGGAGAAAAGTTGGACTCAGAAGAGTTCTTACTTCCATTTGCAAACAGAAAGGCAACTTTTGCATCCAAGTTCCTTCCTATAATCTTGGTCCCATTTGCAGGGTTGGTTTCAGAAAGTGGTATTAGTGGATGTCTGCTTGAGCGTAGGGCATTTGAGCTGTGCAGATCCTGCAGATTCCCCGTGCCTTCCAGGCTCCACACGATGCCACCGGGTGAGGTCAGCTGGGGCTTTGGAGTGAGGTGCCAGCCCTGTGCTGACGACACCCACCTGTGGTGACCGAGGCAGTGCTAGAGAGTGGCCCACTCACCCTTCCTATATTGTTCTGCCCATTCAGAGAAGGCCCTTTTCCAAATACTACCAGCAGGGGAGATGCTCAGTGGTTGCTTTCACACAGTACAATGACCCATGCTATGTTGTGAGGCACATTTGTTTCAGACGGGGCTTGTTGTGTTGTCAGAACCACACCAACATGGCTTGCGCATGGTTAACAAACCAGGCCTAACTGTGGATCCCAGTCTGTGGGGGGTCTGTGCTTGCTGATTCTTCTGCTGACATTTCTTGCCCCTCCCTCCAGTGCAAAGCCAGCACCCATGCAGGTGTCAGGCCAGCGGGTCCGTGCCGTGTACGACTATACCGGTCAAGAGGCAGATGAACTAAGCTTCAAGGCAGGTGAGTGTTGTTGTTGCCACCCTACTAGACGTCCTGTTTTATCCTTTTCTTTTGCAAGGAGGAGATGGCTATGAATCTCTTCTGACTTTAGAGCTGTTCAGCTGCACTGGGTCTCCTCTTCCTCCTCTCTTCAGCAACATTTTCCCATGCTCCCCACTTCCCTGGACAGTCAGAAGTCCCATGAGGCAGCCTTTACCTGGGTTTAATATCCTTGGAATAGAGGAGGAATAGACCTCTGGAGACACAGGATATTCAGGTCGTGTTTACTTTATTTACCAGCATACAAGCTGAGCATTTTGTTGTTGTTGTTAGTCGCAAAGTCATGTCCGACCCATCGCAACCCCATGGACATCATTCCTCCAGGCCTTCCTGTCCTCCACCATCCCCCGGAGTCCAGTTAAGCTCACACCGACTGCTTCAGTGACTCCATCTAGCCACCTCATCCTCTGCCATCCCCTTCTCCTTTTGCCAGTGAGTCCTTCCTTCTCATTAGGTGGCCAAAGGATTTGAGTTTCATCTTCAGGATCTGGCCTTCTAAAGAGCAGTCAGGGTTGATCTCCTCTAGGATTGACTGGTTTGATCGCCTTGCTGTCCAAGGGACTTGCAGGAGTCTCCTCCAGCACCACAATTCAAAGGCCTCAGTTCTTTGGCGCTCAGCCTTCCTTATGGTCCAACTTTCACAGCCATACATTGCAACTGAGAAAGCCATAGCCTTGACTATACATACTTTTGTCGGCAGGGTGATGTCTCTGCTTTTTAGTACGCTGTCTAGATTTGCCATAGCTTTCCTCCCAAGGAGCAAGCATCTTTTAATTTCTTGGCTGCAGTCCCCATCTTAGAGCTCAGGAAAATAAAATTTCTCACTACCTCCATTTCTTCCCCATCTATTTGCCAGGAAGTGATAGGACTGGATGTCATGATCTTAGTTTTCTTAAAGTTGAGTTTAAGCTGAGCATAAGTGAAGGCAAACGGCACCTGAGAGGATGCAGAGGGAAGTGTGGGAGAGGAGGGGATAGTAAGACAGGGTGGTGTGGGGCACTCTGAGAACAGAACAGAAATTAAGGCTTTTAGTCCCGGGTCTCAAGATGCCCAGGAATGGGAAAAAAATGGAGTGATAAACACAGGGAGACCACTTACAAATAACCCTAAAAGAAGCAAAGAGGACAAAGGCACTTATTTACATAATATTTGCACATGCTACTGTATATAAAGAGATGTAAATTTAGAGAGATAATATAATTTAAACAAAACACATCATGTTTTCTAAAAACTATTTTTCAGAAAGTTAGATAGCCTCGTGGGCAACACAAACATGCCAAGCTCCGTATTAGTGTAATCCCTTTATGGTTGATCATTTCTATGTTATTTCATCTTTTGTATTTTAATTGTATGCTTTATATATTACCTATTGGTAATGGCCGGCCTTTAAACCAGTTGAATAAATAAATAAACTGGGCTAACTGGAAGGTCACCAAATGCTGTGCATGCTTCTGAGTTCTCCAGAGCAGTTGTTTCCTCTTCTCAGCATCGCTTGGGGGGTGTGGGGGGAAAGGGGTGATCCTAAACTGTAAGTTAAAACCCCCTGGCTGAGCTTAGCAGAGCTTTCCCTCTCCTGCTGCAGCTCCCTCATACTTTCCATCTTAAGACCAAGTGCAGCCCGCGTTGCCTGAGCCAGCAGCCCCTGTGCTCCTTCTCCCCACACCCTCCTTGCCCGGTGAAAGTATCCCGTTTCAGTCTGCTTTCAGTTAAAGGAGGTAGATTCATTTTTTTAACGCCGCTGCGTGGTCTTGCTTTTTAACCGTTTCTGAAGGTGGCTGGCCTCGACATGTTCTACGTTACTGTTTCCATTTTATTATTTAAATGTTGATAATGATGCCTTTCATGGTTTTACTGTGCTTTTACACCCCTTGGAAAAATGTAGCTTGGCAAAGCGGCTTAAAAGCATTTTGATTTTTTTTTATCCTAAACCATCCTCTGCTGCTCATGGTGGTTGCTGGCCTGAACTGGCCTCAAAATCTGGCATAGCTGGGCACCTGGCAAGGGTCTGCACCCCAGCTGGGGGGGGGGGTCTACTGACAAGAGCCCCCTCACTGTGGCCTGGCGGTGCTGAGAAAGGAGCAGCAGAGGTCACTGCCGGCTGGCTGTTTTCCTCCTGCCCTGGCAAGCAGGAGCAGCGGTTTATGGCAGTGCTGGTGGCAGAGAGATCCACGGAGGGGCACTGGCCCAGTGCAGGAACCTGCCCCAAAGGCCCTGCAGAACTTGGGATCCGCACTGCCCTGCTGCTCCATGCCTGCCCGGCGCCTGTCCTCTTTATGACACGTATGTCTTCCCCTCTCAAAGTGCCTGTATTAACGGTGGGGCTGCCCCTGCTTCTCCCTTTTCTGCACCCCAGGAGAGCTGCTTACCAAGCTGGAAGACGAGGACGAGCAAGGCTGGTGCAAGGGGGTGACCGACAGCGGACGTGTGGGGCTCTATCCTGCAAACTATGTGGAGCCCGTACAGGGTTAGCCAGACAGACAGCAGAGGGGAGCCACGGGAAGCGGTGGGGCTCACGCATACCCGCACTGGGGCTGTGTCTCGCCCTCACTTCTGAGATCGCACCGTGCAAGCACAGAACAGTGCAAAGTGCAGCTTCCTTGGAGACGTGGCCTTTTTTTGGTTTTTTTTTATGAGCATGCAACTTTCTCATTCATAGGACACGACATTAATCTTGAAAATGTGGGTGGGTCATGTGGGGGAAATCTCAGAAATCAGGGAGGACTGGTGGGTGGGACTGGGCGAAAGTTCAAGCAGATGGAGGAACAGTGTCTGAGTTGCACCCAGCTTCTTGCCTCTTCCGATAGCTGTAGAATAAATTATGCAGAACAAAGCCACTGATGCTCAGTTTGCATGACTTATTCAGGGGAAGACAGCTTTTGGCTTGAGGGGGGTGGAGTAATAGACAGCCCTGATCAATAGGTAAAGACATAGAAAGAACTATGGACAAGGTGCAACCTGGGAAGCAAGTGCAGCCTTACACAAGGAGAAAATGTGCAATACACACCAGTAATTGCATGCACTTGAGGACACACACATCCGGTCTGATTTGCAGACTGCATGCCTGCACACCTACACAGCTGCAGATTCTATGCCTGCCTCTCTTTGAGGCACAAGCAAATAGATCAAGGAGCCTTTAACTTCCTATTAGTGTGTGGCCAGAGGGCTGGCCAACACCTCTAGAAACTCTGAGACACACTCCAAAAGATAATGACAAGCCAATCAAAGGAGACATGCAAACCGCCCAGAGAGTTCTGTGGGCTGTGGGGTGGTATATAAATGTAATAAATAAATAGTATCTTGGTATCACCAGGAAAAGCTCTTTAGAGATTGTGAAATGGTTATCAAAATATTAGTCACACATGGGTTGTGAAGGGTGGAGTGAGATAAACATGTAATGCAACTGCTAATCTAAACTTCTCCCACATGGCAACTCTGGAAAACTGGATGTTTGCAGGCCTCAGCCATACAGTAAGCTGAATGTTACCTCTCCTTTCTGGATTTATGGTTCTTTTTTTTAAAAAAATAAGACATTAAGGAGGCGACCACACTATAACTTGTTGTCTGACTCCACCAAAAGAAAGGTGTGAGAGAGAGACTGAGAGGAATGTTGAGTTTATGAGAACGACTGTTTTTAAAAACGTTTTAATGGATCTGGGGATTTTGGAAAATAAATCAACTGTGGCTTGTGCCTGTGTCTTTTCATTTCTAAGCTTCTAGTCCATGTGTCTGCAGTTAAGCTGGAAAATGTTTCCACCATGCTAGAAGAAATCACATCAAAGCAATTAATCTCCATGTGATCATGTTTCCAACAGTTAATCTACCTTTCGTCTAGGTTCGTGTTGTTATTTTGACTGATAATAACCCAACTTTTCAAGAAGTTGCGATAAATACTAAAATCAAATTCAAGCTGAATGTAGAATATATGGATGGCAGTTCAGCAGTGCTGTAGTCCCACATTCAATTCAAGTGCGGATTACTTCAAAATAAGGAAGCATGTTGGTATAAATAGATATCACAGCAGCATCTAGGCCAGTCTCTGGTGAAAGGGGATCCTAACAGAAAAGTTGTCCTTTCCATTCCTTTTATAACAAAGAGAAACTAAACCTTCACGCCTCTGAGCCCTGCAGGATCAGACCAAGTTCCATCTGGTCCAGCTTCCTGTTCAGAGTGGACTTCCGGAGGATACGAGTGCAAACACACCCGCCACCCATGCTCCACAGTAACTGGTGTACATAGGCATACTGCCACTGGTACTGCATAGGACTAATAGTCACTGGTAGCTTTTTCTACTGTGGACTTGTCCAGTCCCCTGTTATCCAAATCAGTGGCTATCACTATGTCTTATGGAAGTGAATTCCATACTTTGACTATGTACTGTGAAGAAATACTTCCCTTTATCTGTCTCGAATTTCCCACCAATAAGCTTCATGGGTTGATCCCAGGTTTTAGCATTATGAGAGAGAGAGAAGACTCCCTATCTACTTTCTCCACGCCATGGATGATTTTGTGCATCTGACTCTGTGGTGCATTCCATTTCTCTTTTTATCTAAGCTAAACAGCCTCTTTCCTCATGGAAATTGCTCTGTCCCCTATCATTTTCGTTGCCTTTTTCTGCACCTTTCCAACAACACAGTATCTTTTTTAGGTGACCAGAACTGTACCCAGGTGGTAGCAAAGGCAACTTTATTTCAGTTCTTTTCCCAAATATGAATCACATGGAGTTTGCTCTTTTTCACAGCAGCTACATATGGGGTCAAATTTTTCAATGAACTGTCCACCACCATTCAGTGGCTTGTCCGAGAGCTCTTTCTTGTCAGTCTCTGTTAGCTCAGCTCCCATCAGCTTGGGATTTCTTGTCCCAACAGGCATCACTTTACACTTGCTTACTCTGAACCCTGTTTGCCATTTTGATGCTCATTCTTCCAGGCAGGAAAGATTCTTTTGGATCTCTTTACAGTCCATTTTTTTATTGACCAAGCAAAATAATCTGGTGTCATCAGCAAACTTGGACACCACACTGCTGACTCCTAATGCCAGATGATTTATGAACATTTTGAAAACTGCTTACATCCCTCCAGTGGGAGAATTTGCCATTTATTCCTGTTGTTTTCTTTAACCAGTGACTAATGCATAAAAGGACCTCTCTTATTCTATGATTGCCACATTCATTCAGGACGCTTTGGAGAGTGATTTGTCTCTCACTAAATACACACAACCTGACTGACTTTTCCTGAGAATATGAACATTCCTGGAACAAAATCCATTCAGAAATGAACAATGGAATAGCTATTTCTTATACCTAAAAGTCAACATCATACTAGTGATATAGTTTTATCACTGGGCCTATTTCAGTGCCTCGGGAGGGATAACCAGGGCTTAATTTTGTTCCAGAGCTAAAGCCTGCTTTAGAGTCAAGTATAAATTATGGGAGCAGGTTTTGCCCTCTGCACAGGTTGTGGTCTTTAAATTGCCAGAGGGCTCTTAGTTGTTTTTATTCCTATGCTCAAGGGCTGGCCTTAGTATTATAAACAAGTTCTAAAGCTGCAAAGATGGTAAGCCTTAATACAAAACAATTCCTGAGGGAAACCATTTCCTCATTCATCAGCATGTGTGTTTGTGTGTAGTGCAAGGGAGAAATTATTTCTGTTTTACATGAATTTAAGGCTGGAGACAATAGTTTGCCCAGGCAGAAATACCATGAACATTTGCAACAGACTTTTCAAATTGCCCCCACTCCCATGGTAAAAACTGTCAACTAAATAATTGACAATGTATTGTCAGTTAACGGTATCCCAAGATATGCCAACTGAGATTGGGTGCCCTGTTCTCCAGGCCAATGCAATTCATTTATGACTGAATTTTGGTCTCTGGGGGTCACAAAGCCTCAAATTTCTGTTTAATAATGGAGGGGAAACATTGGACTGGGGGAGTGGAAGTTGCAGAGACACCGAGGCTGTTTGCACTTCATGATAGCCCACATAGGTTAATTTATGCCCAGGAGATGTGCTTCCAAGATAGTCCAGAGACTTTACTTCCTTTTAGAGTAAACAGGGGCAGAAGGTCGGTAGAACTCCAGATGTTTTGCATTTCAACTCCAAGAAGCCTCTGCCAGGATGGCCTGTGCTCAGGAATGCTGGAAGTTCAACTCTAAAACATCACAAGATCTACTTTTTGCTCACTCCTGCATTAGAGCAACCTGCTCCAAGCAGGTGTTGGACTGGTCAGTTGGGGACTTCGTGGAATTGTTCTCCAACACAACAGGAGAGCACCAGGTTGGGGAAGACTGCATTGGAGGGCAAGTGAGGGTGGATATGATGGTCCCTCCTTCCAAAGCTGCCGAAAGAGGACTGCTCTTGTGACCAACATGGACATCATTTTGGATCTGTCTGGGTACCTTCTCCCTGCTCTAAACAGATGGGCTTCTGCTCCCCTCAGGGGGTCAGATCGATGCTTTGAAAAAAGCTTTGCCAGATCCATGGCGAAGGGAGTGAAAAGGGGATTTCCAAGCTCCACCCCACTGACTCAGACAAAATGTTGGGGTGTAGAATTAATGAGGGCAATAAGGAGCATGCCGTCACACCCACAAAAGCCCTGCCCATCTGACTTCAGGGAGAACTATTTTGTCTCTGAACTCTAGGATTTTGCAGTCTGTGAAGAGCTGACCCCCTGAAGACCCCATCAAAACATCAGCAGGATGATCCCACAAATTACCCAGGAGGTTAGTACAGGCTTTGGACCCCTCTCTACCCCCATCCCTGCCCCCACCCCAGTCAATTATGTTCTGAGCCCATCACTCCTCAAGTTCTTCTAGATTTTGGATAGATAACATGGCACCCTCCAGATGTCCTAGACTACAACTCCCATAATTCCTCATCATTGGCCAAGGTGGCTGAGGCTGATGGGCATTGTATTCTAAAGCATCTAAAGGGTGTTGATTGGCCTATCTGTGTTTTAGATTACGGGCCTTTAAAAAGCTGGTCACTTTCCTTAGCCAACTGGAGCACGAACCCCAATAATGGCATGAAATGGGGGAGGCGAGCTCTGGCGTTCCTGACCAATCAGGTTCTGCAACCAACATTCCTGGGGCCAATGGGTGAGGCATCACTGCTGCTTCTCAGCCAGTCCAGATATACATCTTACCCACCCCGGGACAAATAATTTGGGTGCAGTCTGCCCGGACAGATAGAAGAAAGCACTGCTGGAGGTTGCCACGCGACAGATGGAAGATGGGAGGCCGAGTCTGGATCGCGATGTTGCTGCTGGCAATTGGAGCGCAAGGGCTGATGCGGTGAGAGGATTACAGGATGTTTAACTCCCTAGGAGAGAGGCTAAGAGGGCACCCAGTAGCTTGGGGCTGTGGCCCAAGGCATCTGGAGGGCACCATGTCTTGTGGATTGAGGGGCAAGGGGTTCTTGTGGAAAGCAGGAGCTCATGGGTCCCTTTGGAGCATGAGGTGCCCTGATGCTCAGCTTGCATTTTCTGACATGGGTCTGTAGCCCAGCAGCTGTGAAATGGAGTGCCTGGATATAAACTGGGAAAAGAGAAGAGTCTGATGGTTAGGAGAGAGGACAGGAAATCTCTGCAAAGGGATTGCAGATGGATGGGTTAAAGTAGAAGGGGCTGGCCCTGACCAGCTGATAGTTGACGGGGACAAGACTGGAGAAGAGGGTGCTTTTCTGTCTGAGCAGGAACTTGTGATATTTGTCTATTTTAACAACTTGTATATTGCTTGATATCCTAAGATCTCCAAGTGGTTCATATTAAAATACAATATGAAAACAAAACAAAACAGGAGAAAAGAATAAATTAAATATAAAACTGGACAATGAAGGAAGGGTTGAATAAATCAATACATTCTCAGAAGGCATCTAAAATTGTCCATGGTTGTGGCAGAATTAAAGAGAAAGCTGCAGTGAATAACAAGCAGAGAATGCCAGAGCTCCCTCGAGGAAAAGCTCAGATAATACCACCTTCCCCCAAAAGAAAATAAAAAGTTTGCTAAACTAAAGTTGCTGGTCTCTCTCTCTCTCCTGGAGACTATTGTTTCCTTTAACAGCTGTGTGACCAACAGGCAGAAATTCAGCAGATTCCCCATTTCGAAAAATTGTCACTTGTTGAATTTGTACTTGCCAGACAGATGTTTAAAAACACAGGTGCTGTGCCAGATAAACAGGTCAGTATTTTACCTGCCCAGGAAAGGTATCTTAATCATTGGCCCTGTGCATTTCATCCATTACTCAAGCAACCACAATCCTAGCTGGATATCTGGGATGACAGGCAGTCTGGAAAAAAGCAGGATTAGTGCAGGCGTTTCCATGAAAAGTGTGGGGGGCGGGCAGTGCCTTCTAAGGGAAAAGGTGGGATTGGGGTAGCTGTAGAAAGGGAGCGAGAAGGTGGATGGAATTACAAAAAACAGTCTAGCTGGTTGTAAAGGAGGACTTGGCCAAACAAAACAAAACAAAACAGAAACATTTGTGAATCATAAAATAGGTGGCAGCAGGTGCTCAGGACTGGGCAGTGGCAGATGGATGTTGGAGGAAGAGTTAGGTGCCCCCTGCACCTCGCAGGTCTGGTGGAGGGGGCTGGACCACTGCTGGTGTTGAAGAATGGACCGATAACGTGGCGTCTTGTCCTTTGCCTCAGGCAACCGTCTAGCTTGACCTGGCCCTTGAGTCCCTGGACTGGAACAAGAAAATGTACAAAACCTGAGTCTAGAGGGCTAAAAGGGCTTGGGAGGATGGGAGTGCTTCCAGGTGTGTTTCTTAGGGTATCTCCACTAGAAGGCATTGCTTGGCTGTTCTGTCTTTTTCTCCTGAATGGGCTTTCTATACTGAGAAAAAAGACGGAAGAAGGGAAGAGGAACATGGGCAGTGCAGTGGCTTAATAAATCTGGAGGCCTTGGATTACTTGGGAAAGGAATGGGATTGAACACTTTAGAAGGGAAGGGGTTTAGATGGGGTCCCTGAAAATGTTGCACAAGGAATCCTTCTGCATAGGGCTGAGGCATGGTATGGGGAGAGGGAGGAGCTCCAAAACTTCAGGTGCAGGGACCTTTAGCGAGTGCGACCCTTCGCTTCACAGACGGCAGATGCTGGGTCCAACCTCAGTTTCCTAAAAAAATTAGAGAGGAGGCAAAGAATCTCCACTGGTGTCAGAAATCTGACAGCCAGAAATCAGCAAGGGAAGACCAAGAACCCCAGAGGGCATTGGTCCACTCCATGCATTATTTGGGAGAAAGCAATGTGATGTTGATATATTTCTTCTCCACGGCAGTGAAACTCAGTTTCTTGCTGACTGCTAGAGATAGAGCTGCTGTTTTAGAGACCACTAAAAGGAATGATTTAAAAATTGGTCAACCTTTCTTTAGAAATGCTCCTGGGGAATTTTGTTTGGTCAGTCTGATAAACTGGAGACTTGTAGTGCTGGTAGGGTTGTACCCTTTGCATTCTGGTGGATGTCTTAAACCTAATAATAACCCCACTTTTCTTCAAAAGTACCCATAGTATGATCTGCACTATAACTGGCAAAAAGAGATAGATACATTCTTGACTGTTCATTAACCCTGGGAGAGACCTGTTGAATGTCTGCCTGTCCTCAAGCTATTGAAAAACACAAAAACCCCACTGAAATGGAACCAAGCAACACCTAACATGCAGATTATTTCTAAAGCAGGGTTAGGCAGAAACTAGCATCATTATTAGGATCTTAAAGTTTGGTCTCTTTGTGATTTACATGAGATTGTCAAGGGGTCCTGACTCTCAGTTGTCTAGCAACAATTAAAATGCCTTCTGCCTCTTAATTGCATTACTGCAAGAAAGAGAAAATGCTTGGGGGAAACCAGGAGTGGTTTTTTCTGCAAAAGGATTTATGAGCTTGTTTCATAAATTGCTCAACTGAGCGTGTGCTGAAAGGCACCCTGTCCGTATGCCCATGTGTCTGACCGGCTCTGGCTGGTGGATCTCAGGGTTCTAATGTCCTGTCCAGAGTACAGGAAGCCCAGTCTCTGGGTTGCCTTCTCCAAAATTCTCAGTGTCATTCCGGGGATCAAGGCCATATGGTTAGTGCGTATCCTAAGCTCCAAGCCAGGTGGGGGTGTCCGAAAGAAGGTCCAATAAACAGGCCAGGAATCTAGATACCGGTTAAGAACAATAAAGTCCAAGAACACGTGTAATGCTGCTTGTTGTTTGCAACACAGAGCAGCTCTGGCTGAACTAATTTACAGTCAGCTGTAACTCAGCACAGCCAGCTAATTAAGTCAGCGTGCCGGTTCACGGAAAACTCCCCTTTCCGGCGGTTTGGATTTCTGTTGGAGCCAAAGCTGTGCTCTCCCTCTCCTTTCCAAGGGGTGAATTGCCTCTGCCTCTGGCTGCTGCTGTTGGGGAACTGCAAGGGCTGCCTATGAAGGTCCAGGGTCCTCCTTCTCTGATGGAGGGAGCCACCTGCGGCCACAACCCCGGCGTCTGACTGAGGCCGGGACGCATAGCACCAGCTCTCTTCATCTGAGGAATACTCCTCCTGCTAGGACATGACGTCCAGCCAGAAGCAAAGTCGATCCCACAGCCCTGATCTTTTCATCCCTGGTCTAACACAGGCATGGGCAATCGTTCATTCTCTCAGGTCACTGATGTCCCAAGAGCGGGGACGGGGCGAGGGGGGCGGATCCATCTGTGATCTACTGAAAAGTAACATGCTTGACAGTATGGTAAGTTAATTATATTTCAAATACCACAAATCAGTGATGGGAACCTGCCGCCCTCCAGATGTTTTGGAAAATGGCTCCTATAACCCCTAGCCCATGTTGGCTGGGGCTTATGGGAGTTGTAGTTGGAAGGCACCATGTTTCCTCTTCCTGACATAACTGCAAACATTGTTGTCTCCTCTGGAGCAAGAAAGGCAGCTGAGGAGGCTTCTTGGCTTCTTCTGGCACCAGTATCAAACCAACTGCCCTTCCTCCCCTCCAGTCCTTCATTCCTGGGAAACAAGCACAGAAACAGAGCAAGTCAGAGGGAGCCTCCCAGGCCATCTAGTCTGGCCCCAGCTCCAGCCGGCTCCACTCACGACATGCCTACCGTTGTCAAAATTGGGCTCGTCCGGGATTTGAACCCGGGACCTCTCGCACCCTAAGCGAGAATCATACCCCTAGACCAACGAGCCAGCTGAAGCTTCCCAGAAATGCCTGGGAGACAGAAGGAATTAAGGCAGGGGGACACATTTCATATTATAAATGTCAACAAAATTAAATAATACCATGAAGGAAAAAGGAAGACATAGTGCAATAGAAATATCTGCACAGATGTGAATGTATTGATTATACATGAACTTCAACCAAGGCAGACCAAATAAGACAATTTGGGCAGAAAAGTCCAGGGATCTTGGGTTCTTTAGGAGTGCAGTGTAGCGTCAGACTACGGACCACGCTCCCATGGGGCCATACCTCAGCAGAGGAAAAGAAACAACTCGGAGCTGGGTGTCAGAGTATGTCAGTATCCTTCAAAAGAAAACAGCTGCCCAGTTCTTCCGGAGTAATCCTGTTTCCTTGCCAGAAAAAAAGGAAAAAAAAGAAAAACACCACCCACTAGGTCAGGCTGGTCTTCCTCCAAATATGACTATGCAAAAGAGGACTTTGGAGGATTGGCCCCTCCCTCCTGGAAAGAGACACTGCGTCTTGTCTAAGGATTTCAGCTGCAACCTTCAGTGACTGACACATGTCCTGAGATGACAGAAAGCCGTGTTACACACCTGTAATTAAGCCACTGGCCCAACCCTGCTGCCTCCAGCTGGGTGATGCCCAGGTATCGGTGTGTTAATTATAGAGGTTCCTTTAACAAGCACTGGATGTGTCTGCTTGTGTTTTTCCTCTGAGGTTAATATATTCCTCTGTGGACACACGAAGGGCAGAGGAGTGTTGGATCAACAGAGCAAAGGCACAGGACTAAAGGCAAAGGGGAACTCAAGCGCTATGCAGACTGGGGAAAGGTTGTAAAGGAAGCGTGACTGACGTGCGACTTCCATTTCTAACATCCCCACCTGGAAAACAACGAAGGATTGTCTGCTTGGTAGGAGAGATGCAAACTTCTTTCAGAGTTGCATAACAGAAGTATTACTTCCAAATGACTTCTTCTGTACTCTTCACTAGTCAGACCTCACCTGGAATACTGTCTCCAGTTCTGGGCTCCAAGATTTAAGAAAGATGCAGGAAAATTGGAAAGGGTCCAGAGGAGGGCAACAAAAATGATCCAGGGTTTGGAAACACTGCCCTGTGAAGAGAGACTGAGAGAACTGGGCATGTTTAGCCTTGAGAAGACTGGGGGAAGGTGGGGCATGATAGTCCTCTTTAAGCACCTGAAAGACTGTCACAAAGAGGAAGGTCAAGATCTCTTCTCGCTGATGCCAGAGTGTAGGACACGGAAGAATCACTTCAAGTTGCGGCAACCCGGATTCAGGCTGGACATCAGGAAAAGTTTCCTCATTGCCAAAGCAATATGAGAGTGGAACCAGCTGCCTGGAGAGGTGGTGGGCTCTCCCACACTGGAGACATTCAAAAAGAAACTGGACAGCCATCTGAGTGGGATGGTAGGTTGGGCTGTGAGTCTGTGACTGGCCAGGGATTCCTCAAAGCAGCCTCACCCTGCCGCCATACATGTGTATATACACACCAGAGTGGCCCTCAGAGTTGTACAACCCATGATGTTGATAGATGATGGGGTTATCCTGCCTTCCTTTCAATGCCTCATCTCAACTCTTTCTTCCTCCTCAACAGGATCTCCCTGCAGAAGTTTCCATCAGTCCGGAACCGCTTTGGCCGGTCTGGCCTCCCTATTGCTGAGATGCTAAGGCGAGGAGGAATCTGGTCTGGGAAGCCCCTGATGGCAGCTTCAGTCACCCACCAGCGCCTTCACAACTATATGGATGTATGTGCCAACTCCCCCTCCTCAGCAAAGGGGCCGGAAGACATCCGGCTTGCGGGTTCAACTCTGTAGCTTTGCCAGAATTCCTGGGTTCCACCACGTGGTGCAGTGGGAACAAATTCCTAGGCTTAGAGTTCTTTAGTCGGATCAGAAGTGAGCTGTTCAGGAGCTATGCATAGTTCAGCACCACCGAGAGCTCCTGAAAGGATTGTCACGATGAGCCCCTGGCATGTCAAATGCCCGATTATACAGCCGGGGGCCTGGGGAGTCGTCCTGTTGCCACTTTTGTGGCCAGCCCACTACAGATTCCCTGGAGAGTGGAGCCGGCTCTTCTGTCTCCCCCTGCCTTATAGAGGAGACTTTTGTAGGGCTGATGTCTTTTGGAAAGTGTGTTTGATTGGAACTACCAACAGAGTCGAGATTTTGGAGTTCTAAGGTTTAAGAAATGTCAGAACCTGCCTTGTACAGAACACTGCCAGATGCACGGTCCGGAGGACTCTGTGCAAGGCTCCCTCCAGGGCCCTTTCCTCAGTGAATGCACTTTCTCACTCCCATCATCCCCAGCTGCTCTTGCTGTTGCCTTTCCTCTTTCAGAAACAAGCACGTTGCAGTGGAGAAGCAGCTCCAGGGCCTCCTCACTGGGCCCCTGACTGCATGTTATGGGTGGTTTGTTAGCCGAGACAACCCACCCTGTACCGAGTTTGCACATCACAATAAGCCTCAGCGACCACCCACAGTGACTTGAAAATTCACAGTGGCTGCACATACACCCAGAGTGTACTGTGATAATCATGTAAACTGGCCCACTGAATTAGAGTATCAGCCCATCTAGCCCAGTAAGGAACTGGTGGACATTCTCCGGGGCTTGAGGCAGGGTGCTTTCCAGCCCTATGCGGGAGATGCCAGAGGCTGAACCTGGAACCTGGTGCATGTGCAGTTTGCACTCTGCCACTGAGCAAAGTCTCTTCTCTGTGGAGCCACCGCCATCGCCACGTACTCACTAGGGGGAGGCTCCAGCGGTGGTCACAGGACCTCAGCAGGTGCCCAATCATGCCTACTTCTGACCCTGTCCAATACGTGTCTCAGCTCTAACAGAACAGTCAAAGCAAGACACGAAGCAGAGTGGGTGTTGCCTGATGCTTCAATTATAACTGTGAACGATTAGGCAAACACATCTAATAGCTCTGAGCCACGATTGTTCATTTCAAGGGGACCTTCCTGTTTCCTGGCAGCATATTTTTGAACACTGGCTGCACTGGAGGCAAACCACACGAGTGCATCCCAGTAGCTTCATCGTGGCCCGTTTGCAGATGATCACAGGCTACCGTTAAACAGGTGGACTGGGTGGCCCTTCGATGTGGCCCAGCAAGGCAGCTCTTTGTGTTCTGTCAGGTGGGATTTGAGCAAAACGTGGAGTGATCTTGGTCACAATGCCAGCCAGACAGGGAGCTACGCCCTCTTCAAGGAGGCTTCATTTCCCCACATGCCAGTACACCGTTCTCCCCACCCCACCCAAAAGGGTATTGGCATCTGGGCCCACCAACAGTGCCAATACTTGGTTGAGTGTTAGGTCCCCTCTGCTTCCTGGACTCCTGACTCCTGCCTTTTGGACACAGATGGTGCTGAGTTTGCTGTTAATGCAAGTTCGATTGGCTGGATGGATGAATGGATGGATGGATATAGGCAGTTATGCAAGCTGAAGCTGTATATTTTTGTGTGCTGATCCTCTCTTTCTGTCTCTCTTCTCCACCCCACCCCACCCCAGGCACAGTACTATGGGGAAGTGTGCATTGGAACACCCAAACAGTGCTTCAACGTCGTCTTTGATACGGGCTCCTCCAACCTGTGGGTGCCCTCCTCCAGATGTTGCCTCTTGCACCTGGCCTGCTGTAAGACCCATTTGCTCAACTGATGCTGGGAGAATTAGTCACAAAAACAGCCTAGAGTAGGGGTGAGCGGATGTTGGTCTCCAGATGTTCTGGACTTTAGTTTCCAGAAGCCCTTGGAGCGTGGCCAATGGTCAGGAATGTTAAGCTGCTGTCCAAAACATCTGGAGGTATACTTTCTGCCCATTGTTAGTTTGCTGTAATGATTTCCAGCTGTTTTGGTTGCTTTGATTTCAACAGAGGTAGGCAACTGCTGAGCACATTTCCTGCAGGCCTTGGCATAATTTCAAAAGCCCTCTGCAGGAAATACAAGGGCAGTCCGTCTCCTCTCTTGTAGCTTGCTGCTTGCAAAGGAGGGATGGATGGAGGGAAGGAGGAGAGGGTAGCAGAAAGAGACAGAAGAGAATCTCCTAGAAAGAAGAAAAGAAAGGGGTGATCCACCCACACTGGGCTCCGTACTGGCTTAGACCCCACTTACCCAGCTCCTGACAGGTTACCCACAAGGAAACGTGGACCTCGACAGAAGAAAGATCACCCACCCTGGCTGCAAAAAGCAGCAAAGTGTGGTGTGTAGAACAATAATCTTGGCTGGAAGTGCTGAGTGTTATTGATCAGGACTTCTCGTCTAACTATCCCCATCCGGTAGATCTGAATGAGATCAGGCTGGGGAATGCTGGATGTTTCTTTCCACGAAGTCCCCTCTCATCTGATCATCAGGCACCTGCTGTTTACTGTAGCAGCTGTCCATGCAACTCCTGGCTGCTGGACTGTTTTATGTTGATCAAACAGTACTTTTGGCTGGGATGAGCAACAGGGCCTTTTCAGTTGTGGCACCCCATTTGTGCAGCTCCCTACCAGGAAAGACTATGATGAATTTTAGTCGGGCAGTTTGTTAGTGGGTCTAATCCCTACCAGCTATGGATTCATTTTGTTGGCTCCTTTCAATTATGCTCTGGTTTTATATTTATTTATTTATTTGAAACATTTCTATGCCGCCCCCATCGCAACAAAGCCTCGGGGCGGCTCACAACATATTCTGCATCATTGCTTGTTGGCCACCTTTTGAAGGCTGAAATGAGGAAGGACCCCCTAATGAAACCAGCTTTGATATTAATCAGTGCACTCGTACCTCAGGAACAGGATGAGTGGAAGAAGAGAGCAAATCCTTCAGGCAATTATTTTTGCCTTATTTTTATCATCTTATTTGCCTTATATAAAAATTGCCTTATTTTTATCATCTTAAGGCAATTATTTAAAAATGTAATTTGTACAAGGAAGTAAGACATGTATACTGCTTTGGGAATCTTATAGTGAAAGGTGATTTGCATATTCATTAAGGAAATCATCCTATGCATGTTTAAATAGAAAAAAAGCCCTACAACTCCCGGCATGCCCAACCATTGGCCATGGTGACTGGGGCTGATGGGAGTTGAAGTTCAAAGGATTTGAAAGGCATCATGTTCTGTACAGCCTCTAGTGAAAGAGTAGGAAACACAATACTGTTGGACTGCAACTTCTATCAGCCCTAGCTAAATGGTGATGGATGATGGGGGTTACAGTCCAGCAACATAGAGAAAGCCACATATTCCTTGCATGTTTGTTTTAATAGATATAGTGATTAACTATTTATCACTATCTTAAGAAAAGACTGTGTGACAATTGTCAAATGGTGGCAAGAAGGAATCTTTTTGCCTATAGGAAACAACCCTCAAGGGAGGAACGGGTTTTGAGAAAGATGTTGGGCCCTGGAGGCCTGGGGGCCCCAGAGCTGAATCCACCGCTGTGCTCACGCACATCGTCTCTCCTCAGGGGTTCACAGCCACTATCGGTCCTTGTTCTCCTGCACCCACAAGACGGATAACTCCAAATTCGCCATTCACTATGGAAGCGGCAGCCTCAAAGGATTTCTGAGCCGGGACATTCTTACAGTGAGTGCCTGAGGATCTCGCAGACGCCCAGGGGCCGGGCAGTGGGCAAGTGGCTGGTCAGTGAGCCTTCCCCGGAGCTTCCAAAGGATTAAGCAAAGGAAAATTCCTGGGGCTTCTGTGAACCAGACCGTGTTGGGCTCCAGGCTTTGACAGAAGCTTGGGCAAGTCGGCCACCTCGAAATCAGCCTACTTTCTCAGCATCCCACTGCCACCAGCTGCCCTTGCTCCTCGTCCTCTTTCTCACCATGGCTGTCGCTTGCTTTCTTGGCTGGCAGAGAGTCAGTGAGCAGCCAGCCGGGGACATTTGCGGCTGCTTCTCTCACTGCCGCCATGGCCTGGGCCAGAGCGAGTGGCGAGGGAAAAGCAGGTTCCCTTGGGGAAGAGGACCAGCAAGTCTGTGGGCCATACCAGAGTGAAAGCCCTTAAGAGGTGCCCACCCCTAACACTTGTCCTGGAACCAGGGTTCCCAAAAACTTGCTTTCTAAGTCTCAGCCGTGGAAGCTATCCTCAGGGGAGAAAAAGTCACTGAGCGTGTGCAAAGTGTCCTTTTCTCATGCCAAAGCAATAGTCTCAGCTCACAAGTTCACACATCCTGAAGATGACTCTAAGTGAGATATGCCGATATCAAGGCAAGACGAAACGCCAGCAGTTCTCTGCGTGTAAAACACTGCAGCCCTGGAGTTTTCAAGCACCTGATCAGTTCAAATGATGTAATTTTATTTGAGATTGCCTTAACTTACACTTCCGTGACTAACCCTGTATTACCAGATTCAGTATCTGCTTTCAGGTTCCTGTTGTTGGTAAATCTCATGGCATTCATTGTTTGCTTTTGGAAATTACTTTTAAAAAGTGACTTTAAGCAAGTACAAACAGTAACATAAAATGTATCATTCAAAAAGGAGAAATGCATAGCTAAAAAACCAAAGGCATGGGTTTTTGTAAAGGTTCACATGCTAATATATTGCTGCAAATCTGGAATTAATTGCTATACCTGAAATAGACTCAATCTACTCTCTAGATCCAAACCAGGCAACGTTAACACCCCTACCTCTCTCTCCTTATGGTTCTTTACCTTTAAACCAGACATAAGGTTTTTAATATACAGTTGCCCTGCTTCAAACACCAAATGGGGTCCATCCAGTGCTGCCCCCTATTGGTAACCCTCCTGAGTTTTCCTACTGCTCCTTCCATCTTCTTTCCCATAACATTAATCAAAGACGGAAAGACAGAATAGCTGTACAATGTCCTTGGATTTACGGTATGAAGAGCTGTCTGTCTGGAAGCCCCTTGGACTGGCCACGCTTCAGACAGAGGCTGTCTTCAGACAAGGGTTTTCTTCTGACAGCCCTTTAAGCAGAAGCTTGCCCTTTGCATAGCGGGACACATGGCTGACCTTGCTGGGATAGATTAGCTTGCTTTCCACTCCAAAATTTCCATCACTCTTCGGCCAGCTTCAGAAGTGAGCGCTCAGGAGACGGTCCCAACGGAAGAAAGCTGCAGCCAGGATTGGTGGTGTTATTGCCCCAGGCAAAATTTGGGGCTGGGGGATTAATGCTGTGGGGGGGGGGGCAAGCAATCTTGCAAAATCAGAATAGGGTGTTAAAAGTAGCCCAGCATCTCCGGGTTTTCACTGGGACAGGTGTGCATGAATTGGAGTCTTAGGTATGGATTTGCTTTCGGCAAGCTTCTGAATAATTGCAGAGAAGTCGTTAAGACAGGCTGTAAGTTATCTTGCGCTTACTTTAATATTCTCAGGACAGCACTGCAACTGAAGTCTGGGCAACATGCAAACTCCTTCAGATGCAATTGACGGATTAAAAGCAAGATGATTGATCAGCTAAAAATCTTTTAAGTGCCAGCAGAGAGCCTTAATTAAAATTATACAGACTGTCAGGGTGATTATTATTATGCATACAGTGTCATCTGTAGATGTGGAGTTTTGCAAGGTTACAGGAACCAAATGTAGATCTGTGCCCTGTGAATTATCAATACAAATTTTGACGGAGGCAGGACCAGAGGAGGAGGAACAGGAGGAGGAGAAGCTGCAAAGATGGCAGCGATGAAATCAGAGGCGGGAAATGCCTGTGCTCAGGTTTCATTACAGAAAGAGAGGTTAGGGCACCCTTCACTATCCTGGCACTCTCCGATTGCATAGACTACAGCCTAATCTCCCCCACCAATCCATGGATGATGGGCATTGTAGTCCAAGACATCTGTGGGGGGCACCTTGTTGGGGAATTAGAGGTTTGAGGTCGATTAAGGGTTAGAAGACTAGGGAGAAGAGTTTTCAGGTCTGAAACTGAAGACTGGCTGAAGCCTTTTCTTATTTTGTTAAACAAGCCTTGGTGCATTGTGTTGTCTGAAGGTGAGGGCAGTGTGAAAGAGATTGTAGCTTGAACCTGGCATGCTGTCACATGTTGCAATGAAGAGGGGAGTGGAGGAGCAGGAGCAGGCTCAGTGCCATGATGGGAGATCATTATTATTACTATTATTATATATCATAGCATAATGTAATAATATATTATTACTTAATAATATACAATATTAGTATATCCATATAGTATCAAATTATAATAATTGATGCCAATGCATTCATGACTTATCCTTTTGGCCCAAATAGCTCTGCACAGGCAACTTAAATTAAAATGTTCAACAGTTTAATAACATTACAGAAATTAAAATAAAATAAACAATGCAAGACTTTAAAGTAGCACCAACAGCAGAAGATGAGAGAGAAAGATAATCTTAAAAAGAGAATGCAGTTCTAAGAGATTTAAAATACTAAAAAGCCATATGGAACAAACACTTTTTGAGAGCCCAGCTAAAATTGAACAAAAATTTTAAAGACTCTCAGCCTGAGAGTCTTTTCCCCATTGTTGCCTGTTAACATTTGAATGGCACCAAATTCGCTGTCTGAGAAACTGCTCTGGAGTGCACTTCCCATCATCCACAACCAGCGGCCATGGTGGCTTGGGCTGGCAGAAGTTGAAGACCAAAGCTTCAGGCTGGGGAGGTCTGAACCCTGGGACTGAAGGAGGAAAGGAATATGCAGGGGCAGTGGGGGGAGAATTCTAAAATCCTGCAGGCAAGACTGGGGTTCATCCTGGATGCTGGGTTTCCTGGGAGCGGCCTGTGGATCTGATGCTTGGAGGAAGGATGCTTACATTCTCCCTCTCCTCAGATTGGTAACATGACCGTTCAGAATCAGACGTTTGCGGAGGCTACTGATCTGCCAGGACTGGTGTTTGTCGCTGCCAAGTTTGACGGGATCATGGGGCTGGGCTATCCCAGCATCTCGGTGAACAATATCACCCCACCCTTCGATAACATGATGAAGCAGAAGCTCCTTCCGAAGAACGTCTTCTCCTTCCATCTCTGCAAGTAGGAGCCCTTTAAGACGTCGTAATTCCACCGCATCTCTCTCTTCCTGTGCCGGCTACTTTTCTATCCCACCCCCTTTTCCCTCCAAGGAGTTGTCCTTGGTGCTCCCCCTCTCCAGTTTATATTCCCAACAGCCCCGCGAGGCAGGTTAGGGTGGGAAATTGGGTCTCCTCTGCCCCAGTCCGAGACTGAACCGCAGTAACTCTCAGCCTTATCCCCTGCTAGGGCCAGACCTGTTCTGCCAGCTTTCTTTTTTGCCAGTCGCAGCTGGTCCCTGGAGCCATCCCTTTAACAGCAAGGTCTGCGGATGAGTCTGGGATGAGTCTGGGACCATCGTTAGCTCCATCCTCAAAAACGGTTCTGCCTGCAGATTTCTATGCATCAAATGTCTCTTGGTGGGAGAAGAAGGGCCTGAACTGGTGGTGCTGGTTTTCCGTGGCTGCTTCGCAACTTTTGCTTTAACGCACTTCCCTTGCAGCCCCTTTCAGGACATGCTGATATCTTTGCATATAAAGATGCTGAGAGGGCAAGCTGTGGTCCACTAGCTGGGGCTGGAATACAACTCCCATCATTCCCTATCGTAGCTGCTGGTGGGGATTGCGGCTCTAGAACACCTGGAAGGCACAGCTTCCACACCTCTGCTGCACAGCTTCATCAGTGGATTGCAAAAAGGCTTCTGAATTCCTGCCTGGCCCTGAGGAGGACCAGGTGCCCGTTTGCATGTTTCCCTGCATGCATGCATAGCCATGGGTTGCTTCTTTCAGTGTAGGAATGTGAGCAGCCAGTTTTGTGGTTGGTTTAAGGTTCTTCCCTCAGTGACTCACCCAGACCGGTTTAAGGTTTCAAAATGCCTTGCTGTATGTGCATAGTACAATTAGGAGGCCATCTTCTCGCCAAGTGGAATTGCAGTAAGTGTCGTAACATATAGATTTAGGGTCGATAACCCTTCACACATCTTCACATGTGTGGGACGCTGCTCCTCTCCATTAATTCTCGGCTATTCCTCATCCAGTGGCAGATCACTGAATTGGTCTTTCAGTTGCTATTCTGCTTTTTATGCTTCCTGGGATAAGCTCCATGTAGTGCCAAGTTCCGCGGACTTGCCACAACGCCACATGGTAGGGCCGGCCCTGCACCACGGACCCAGCATAACCGGCTGTGGCGGTTCCCTGGTTGAGGATGTGGGAGCCACCATTTCAATTTGCTACCTTACGAGAATGTGGCAACACTCCAGGCATTGTGGGAAATGAAACTGGCAGTTCCCAGCCACCTGGCGTGGATTCAGAGAGCTGCTGCCTGGTGTGTCCATTGTGGTAGGAAGGAGGCCTTTGAGGGGCACTGTGTCAAAGGCCTCCCTCAAACCCAGAGCTGATCCTGAGTGCTACTCATCATTTGGAGGGTGGGGATGCAAGAAACAAATTCCTTCCCGCTTCCATAGATCCCTTAGAGCTGGGGTGGGGAACCTTTTTCAGTCTAAGAGCTGAGTTCAGTTTTGGGAAGTCCTTGGAGAATGTACTCCAGTGGTGGTGGATGACGACAAAGACAAAAACACTCCAGCTTATTGTAGCTTCAAGCTCTTACAAGTAACTGAACGTTAACAGAGGTGTTTCAACCTTTTAGCATGGGAAAAAACCTGCCCAAAACTCCCCAGAGGATTTCTGGTTGGGAAAGAAGAGTTGTAGCCAGGGGAAGAGACCATGGCCACCTGGGGAACCCCAGAGTACTGGATTGGGTTTACTGGGTTTGCCCGCCTGGTCCAGGGTTCCCCAGTGTTGCACGAAAGGCCCAGAACCTTGTGTGCCCTGGCATTTGGAGATCATTTCCCCTTGATTATGCATAGGTATACCTGTAGGTGCAACTGGACAACTTCCTGACCCTTATAACTCTTCTCCTAGCACGGACAACATCACAGAAAACAATGGTGGTGAGGTTGTTTTCGGAGGGATCAACCACGATGCCTACGAAGGGCAGCTTCACTACATCCCGGTGTCACGGAAGGCCTATTGGCAGATCAAGATGGACAAGTAAGTGACACATCCAAATGCGCCGGCTTGTAGCCATAGTTGGCCAAGACGTTGGCACAGCTCCCCTCTGAGGACATCTGGGACCGTTAGTTTAGAACAAGGCAAGTAAGGGGAAACTGAAGTATCCAAAGCACACACGGTGTGGAGGAAGTTGAAAGGGAGATATTTTTAAGCCTCTCTTATAATACTAGAACTCAGAAAGTGGGAGGTTCTGGAGACATAAAAGGAAGGGCTTCTTCCTGTATCACATAGTTAACATTTGTTACCACAAGCTTCAGTGATGGCCACCAATTTGGATGGTATAAAAAGGATTAGACAACTGTGGGGAAGAAAAGGCTTTCAATGGCTGCTAGTCCTGATGGCTTTTGGCTACAGGATCAGAGATAATATGCTTCTGTTATTTCAGCTGCCAGGTGTAGGATTGGGAAGGTCTTCTTGTTCTCACCTCTGACTTGTGGGCTTCCAACAGGCAGCTGGTTGGCTAGTTAGAGGGAAGAATGTTGAACAAGAAAGGTCTTTGGTCAGATTTAGCATGAGTGTGTGTGTGTGTGTGTGTGTGTGTGTGTGAGAGAGAGAGAGAGAGAGAGAGAGAGAGAGAGGGAGAGAGGGAGACTCCATAAATGATGTACAAATGCCTTTGCTGCCACATATTTTATTTATTTATTAGATTTATATTCTGCTTTTTCATACAAAGAACTCAAAGTAGCTTACATAGTTCTCCTGCTGCTGCTCTCCATCTTATCCCCACAACAACAACCCTGTGAGGTAGATTGAGCTGAGAGTCTGTGACTGGCCCAAAGTCACCCAGTTGGCTCCAGGGCTGAACCCAGATTGCCTGATTCCCAGTTCCACACTCTTAGCCACTACCCACAGTGGCTCACCAGTGTGAGACATGCCAGGGTTTATTTAAATGAAACAATTCTTTTAAATTTTTAATAAATTAATAAATTTAATAAATTTTACTAAACTACCAAAAACAATACAATTAATATAACAATGAACATAATTAATCGTTATTAACTGGTAACAACAATACCAGTGCTACCTCCATCAGGACCAACAAATCAAGTCACTCAGTGTAAGATCCTTTATTCATTTAGGTTGCCCCACTTCCCTTCCAGAACTGCACTGTCTCACATATTCAGTAAACAGTCTCCAAGTATTTTCAAAACTGTTTTTACTTATCAAACCTTCAAATGAATCAATTCTGAAATGTTTAAAATGTAAATAATTACAATCTACAAATTATTCCACTGATATCCTGGATATATTGTGAATGAAGCTCTTTAGCTGATCACATTTGGGAGTAAATGTGAAGAATAAGGATTGAAATCATCAAGGAAAATGATGAATAATCATTATAATTGCCAAACATATTTCATTCTCACTGTCTTTTTCAGCGGTATAGATGTCAAAAATGGGAGATTAGTTGCTGAAGGGTTTGATAAGACCATTCAGACTTCCATTCCTTTAAATAAATGCTCTGAAAGCTCAAACACTCACACTCACACACTTTTCAATTACTCTGCATGGAAATCACGATTACCAACCAGCACACCTTCCTCCAAAAAGGCTGCTGTAGACCTGGCCACGTATCTTTGTTCGCCATATATGGAAATATTTGTTTGTTTCTGAAGTGCAAATCCTGAGAGTCCCTTGGACTGCAAAGCAATCAAATCAGTCAATCTTAAAGGAAATCGACCCTGACTGCTCTTTAGAAGGCCAGATACTGAAGATGAAACTCAAATGCTTTACCCACCTAATGAGAAGGAAGGGCTCCCTGGAGAAGAGCTTGATGCTGGGAACAAGGTTGAGGTGGCTAGATGGAGTCACTGGGGCAGTGGGTGTGGGCTTAGGTGGACTCCGGGGGATGGTGGAGGATAGGAGAGCCTGGAGGAATATTGTCCATGGGGTCACGATGGGTTGGACACAACTTTGCAACTAAACAGAAAAAGAAGTGCAATGAGATCTTGTGCAAGAAATCCTCCACTCCCAGACTCTCTTTCACAGTGCAAACCTACCTATATCTATTTAGAAGTAAGTCCTATTGAGTTGAGTGAGCCTTATTCCCAAGTAAGAGAGCATAGGAACACAGCTAAATCTGGACAAATGTAAAGCAGGCTAGAAGACTTGGTGTGCAAGGCATAAATACACAAACTTCTGGTTGTACATAGCACTGTACATTTTGAACTGGATCTAGTTCGTCCCATATGTAAGAGTAAACTCATTGAAATAAATGAGACTTGGTCATGACTAGCTTGCAATCAGTGGGAATTAAGGTGCAATCTTTTGTAGGCTTAGGCAGGAAAAACCAGCATGCTGGGAGTTTTTATATCTAAACATGCTTAGAATTCCACCATTAATTAGTATCTAGACCCCACTGATGTCAATGGTCTAAATAAACCTGTGTCCAACCTAACATTTTTTAATTAAAATGAAGACCATCCACTCATTCCTTCATATTAAATTACATTAAGTAAACTAAATATTCAACAAAGCAACAGATCCTGGCAAGCAGGAAATTAATGCTTTAGGGAGAAAGGTACCCTACGTCTTAATATCTGCCAGGGATTTTTGGCACAGGGAAAAGTTTAAAAAGTATGATCCTCCAGCTGCCAGCTGAAACGGTGCATCCATTCTACCGCCTCACAGAAACTTTCTAATCCTTTATAATTTAAGACAGAGGAAGGGAACTCCCAGCTCTAGAGCCAAGAATGGCCCATGGACTTTCTGGGAGGCTCAGGCTTCTTTCGTGGGCCCCACCCCCTGCCCAGGCTGCACCCTGGGAGTTGACTGGGCCAGTGTTTGGGAATGAGGTGGGAAACTTCTCCCCAGAAGTAACCTTGCGATTACCCTCTTCAAGCCCCCTGGAGGCTTCCGGAAGCTTGGAAGGAGGGTGGTAAAATGGGAGTCCCGCCGTACCTCTGATCCAGGACCATGGGAGATGTGGGGATCCCCTTTAGTGCATCACTGAACATGAGGGACGGTTGGTGAAGGGTCATCCACCTTGCATCCAAAATCAGTTGCCCATCCCTGGTATAAAAGGTGCTTGTGTTTTTCCATCTCCCACGCAAATCAATGTGTAGTAGATTCAGGACAAATTAAATAAAATGCTTTTTCTTTCTTTTCTTGTAAAAGGAGTGATTAACCTATACCAGTGATGGCAAACCTTTTAGAGACCGAGTGCCCAAACTGAAACCCAAAACCAACTTATTCATCGCAAAGTGCCAACTCTACATTAAAACCTAAAAACTGAGGGTTTAGTTTAGAAAAAACAACTCATGGCCAGTACAAGCAAATCTCTCTCTCTCTCTCTCCCCCCCCCCCCCCCGGCAGCCCACTGACTGGCCATGTGAAAGCTTGGACGGGCTGCAGTCGCACCTAACAAGTCACGGTTCGTGACGTCACCATCTGGTGGTGCTGCTCCATTCTGCACATGCGCAGGGCCCCTGCGTGCGCTGTTATCCAATGGTTCGCTGCTGGGGCGACTTGGCTCACGTGCCGACAGAGAGGGCTCTGCATACCACTGTGGCAGGCATGCCAAAGGCTCACCACCACTGGCCTGACCCTACCCTGGTGCACTGCCCTAATCCTAATACAGGGGTAAAATGCCATTGGAAAGAGGGAATTTTGAAGAAGCCTTCTTGAGTAGCTTTTCCAGCTCAGCTAATCATTTCTGGCATTCTAATCAAATTCCAAACATCAAAATCATGCCAGGACACCTCGTTTTTCTAACCCCAACCCTACCTGGTACACACCCCTAACAATAGTATAGGGCTAAAGTTGCACTGAAAAGAGGGCAATTTTGAAAAAGCCTTCCTTGAGTAGCTTTTTCTGCACAGCTCAACATTTCTGCCCGTTCTAAACACATTCCAACCATCAAAGTCATGCCAGGACACCTCGTTTTTCCAGACCTAACCCAGTGATGGTGAACCTTTTAGACACCCAGTTCCCTAACTGCAAGCCAAAACTCAGTTATTTATCGCAAAGTGCCAACACTGAAATAAATCCTGAAAAAAGCCAGTCCAAGCACACTCACACACACACACACACACACACATGTCCTTGGCAGCGCACTGACCGGTCATGCGAAAGCTCAGACGAGTCGTGGTTAATGTGTTGCGGTTTGTGATGTCATCGCCTGGCGCCACTACTCCTTTCTGAACATGCACATGGCCCCTGTGTGCGCTGTTATCTGATGCTCAGCTGCTGAGACGATGCTGCGGTGTCTTGGCTCGCGTGCTGACGGAGAGGGCTCTGCGTGCCTGCTGTGGCATGCGTACCATATGTTCGCCACCACTGATCTGCACTAATTGTATAGTTTTCTATACTTTTCACTGCCACAAGATGTTGTGATGGCCACCCACTTTAATCAGTTTAAAAAGTTATCAGATATATCCATAGAGTGGTTATCAGCCATGGCGGTGCTGTGAAAACTCCTAGCTGGAGGCTGGGCTATTTTTGGTGGGCCTCCCATTTCAAATTAAACAGTGGCTTAGTGAACAAGGACTGAGCTGCAGCGAACCTCAGACTAACATACTCCTCATCTTCTCTACTTGTGTGGCTGGGAAGAGAAGTTCAGAAGGTGTTCTGCTTGCCATGGTGTTTGGACATGAAATGGTGGTTAACATCAAGCATGATGAGTTTAAACAAGCCAGCTTTACTTACTTTGGCTTGAAGTTGGCTTGTCAAGAGCTGACCTTGGTTAATGTTAACCACAGTTTGTCAGCCTGGATGATATGAAAAAAACAGCAGTTAAGCAGAAGTGGAAGTGCAGATGATGCAGTTTACTCACCTTTAACTAAAGAAGGAATTCAAGTGTTTGTCTACTAAAACAAGAAGCAGAGGTCACTGTGTTGGCCCAAAGAAAAATTCCAAAAGAAAACCTCAAAAATCTATTCCGTTGTAATAGGTTTACTGAGAGGATAAGGATTTTGGATTTTTTCTTAAGGGTTTATTTGCAATGACAGCAATAGCCGTTAGGTGGCAATGCTGTTGCATTTAAACTCATATTTTCAAATATGCTGTACTATTTAATATTGCTAATACTTTTGTTTTGAGCTGATTTTGTTGTGTTTTGTTTCTTGCATGATCTTGGATTTTTGTTGTTTTTGCATACCTGTTTTATTGTTAGTTGCTTCAGGAGGGGTAGATCCTGAAAGTTTGGGGATAAAAATTTTAAATAATCACTGGGGACAAGTATAAAATGAAGTTCTTCTTCAGCTGCATATTCTCTAATGTTAACAAAGGCTATTTGCTCAGGATCCCAAACCTGGTGTGGGTTGTGGCCACTTATGCATTACTAAAAAAGAGACACCAACCAAAAGGAAGACAAAAGATGACACTAATTTACATAACACGTGCATGTGCTGATTTATATTTATCTAGAAATAATAATAATAATAATTATTATTATTATTATTATTATTATTATTATTATTAGTGTGAAAGGTTGTGACGGCATGATTTGCATGCCCTGCTCCATCTGCTGTTAAGGCGGTGTGTATGAACACCTTCCCAGGCCATCTTCCTTTTCATGTTGGCCTCGGACTGGACAGCCCTTCAAATAGACCGTGCTGTCAAAACAGAGGACAGTCCTTTGGCAGTCCTTCAAAAAAGGCACTGTCCTCTGTAGGAGAAGACACACGGCCACGACCCTCTTGTCCAAGAAAACCAGACTTCAGCAGAAAGTTCCTCTTGCACTATCCAGGCTCTGTCCTGGCAGGGGCACCAGTGCCATGGAAAGTGCTGGCTTTCCCAAACAGCAGGGGCTGATGGAATTCCCCAAACACCTATCCTTGAAAGCTTAGCATGTTAGGCAGAAGGCAAGTCAGGAGCAGCTGTCTCACAACAATGTTCTCAATGTATATTCGTTTTTTTATCCGGCATTTCCAGTCGTGAGGTTCTCCACCTGCAAGAGGAGTGGCCAAGTCACAGGCGGGGCACTTCCTCTGCCGTTTGTGACTTGGGCCTGGTTGCAGGGGTCTGGTGGTGTTGCTGGATCCCGGTGTTCTGGCCATGCACGGACACCTCGTCTGCCCTTCTGCCGGGCTCCCAAAATACCCCGAGGGAAGATCGCTAACCCCGTTTCTTTCCCAAATCTCCCACGTAGGATAACTGTGGATAAACAATCCAAGGGGGACACTTGCTGGCCATGGAAACTGCTTGGCAAGGATGATGGACCTGAGTTATGCAAGGATGGATGCCAGGCCATTGTGGACACAGGCACTTCGCTGATCACCGGGCCCAGTGACGACATCCGTGCGCTGCATGAGGCCCTTGGGGCTGACCACGCCTTCGGAGGGCAGGTACGGAAGCGGCGGCACAGCCTGGATCCCTTCAGGCTACATCCAAAGCACTACACACTGGGAGTCCCCGACTCTTTGGGGCTGGTGGGCACAATCCTCAGGCCGTGTTATGGGTGCTTTCGCAAACGGACTTCCACGAGGCAGGTCCCCCACTCATGAAATGGCTGCCATGGTAGGTGTGACCAGTCACAATGCACTCATTTCTGGAGGGCAAACTGATGAAACTAAAAAAGGGAACTTGCCCAGTGACCCAAACAGAAAGCAGTATAGCCCTCCTAACTTCGTTTGAACCCTAATAAAGACAGTGCTGGAGGACTGTGTGTCAGTCTCCTAGTTTAAAAAAGTAAATTAAAAAATCTTGGGAAATAAAGTAAAATGTCCAGAAGGTGAGGAAAGTGTCTGGAGACACACCGGTACGCCTGGGCTTTTTATTACAGACCCCCTCATCCCGATCAAGCAATCAGCATCTGGGTTTTGCATCTGATTTCGCTGGCTTAGCATCCTTCTGCTGGCGATTGCTCTCTGTCAGCAGGACAAGCAGTCACCCTGCAGTGCAACTAAGAAATAGTTCGGAAATTGGATACAGGATGGGTCTCTGCAAATAAAGCAGTGGGTTATGTGGCTCCATTCAAAAGGCTGACATCACCGGGGGCACCAAGGAGAAAAATCCCAAGCGCATCACTTCAGTTTTCCCAAGATATGTTAGAAGGTCACCTTTTACACTGTTCCACCTAGGAATACAAAACCTGCCCTCCACTGCTGGCATTGGCTGTCCTCCCTCTCGGTACCATTTCCATCCCCTACATTTCTTTGCCCCTGTAAGGGAAAAAAAGGCAGTTTGCTGCCAAAATTAAGAAGAGAGCATTAAAAGGGTTGCCTTTAGCCTGTTCACAAGCTAAACTTGACCCTTTTAGCGTTCTGCAGCAGTTACAGAGCAGGAAAGTGTTCACATTTAGCTTGCAAATAAGCTAAATTTAGCCTTTTAGTGTTCCATAGCAGTGAGCCTGCCAATTTTTTTGTTAAAAAAATGGTGGTGTGGCAGGGGTTACAGCGGCCCATCAGCTGCTCGCTGTTCCCTCCTGTTTTAAGTTCCGTGTGATGCGGAAGAAAGTTTGCTGGATGTTACGAGGAAGGGACGAGAAGCAGACAAGGGCACCGTTTTCAGAGGAAGCTCCGTGTCAGTCATGACATTGAGTTCCACCAGATCCAAACCGAAGGTGGTGGGAGTGAGTTTTGGCGGGTGTCCTTGCAGAAGAAGCACGGTGTGGTGAGGAGGGAGCATGTCCAAACCGCCTTCCCCTCCTCTTCCTCATGGCCCTCTCCTTTGGTTTGCACAGTACTTGTTCGACTGCAGCAAGCTGCCTCAGTTACCGCCTGTGACCTTCCATCTTGCCGGCAAGCCCTACACACTGTCTCCACAGCAATATACCCTCCAGGTGAGCGATGCCAGTGGCAAACCTATGAAAGCAAGACGACACATGTGTGGATTGTGTTAAATCTACTCGGTCTGCGTTCCGTGGGTCGTCAGGTGTCTTTTGTTCTATTGACAGAGTTGGATTCTTTCTAACCAGAATTTTGTTGTACTCGCACTAATTCTCATGAACTCTAGCAGTTTAGCACTTTTGCGCAAGTGTGTCTTTGTGCAAATTGCACTTGCACTACTACAATAATCTATATTTATGCTGTTGCATATCAGCACAAATCAGGTACCTCAGAGTACCCCAGAGTTAAAAACAAATTCTGGTCAGCAAATCCGCAGAAAAATTTACTCAGAAGAAGTTGGTCTGCTGTGAAATCTACAGGTTGGATTCATGGAAATCTGAACTCAACTATACTTGTTGCAGATTTTTTTTCAAAAGCCTTTGTCATTTTCTTTAGCTTTTGCCACTGATAGGACATTTAAGATGGTTTCCACTTGAAATAGGCTGTGATGCAGGTGTTTAAGTGATGTAGACAGCTTCATTTTTCCCACTTCCTGTGAGGATTTTTATGGTCTTATGGTGGGTGGGGTTTATTAGATCATGAGAGCAGAACTGCAGGGCCAAGGACCAAATCCAACCTTCCTGGGGTCCCAATCCTTACCTTAAAGGACCATGTGTATTACTTCAAACTGTGACAAAGCAGCCTGCTTGCATTTTGAAGCCTTTCTGTCCATTCTGCTGAGCAGAGCCCGGTCCTTCTGCCCCAAAGTCCTTCCCTGTTGGCAGCCTGGGAAAGCCCCAGGGGAGACTTTTCTGGACTAGTTTCCTTCTGAAAAAAATGGACTGGAGGATCTGTGTTTTGTCACATCTCTTCCTTACAAATGTATAAGTCAAGCAGATATGAAGCAAACACATGTTCCCACCGGACGTTCTAGTCCTAGAGAAAAGTCATTTCGGCATCCCACTGTCCTAGAACAGGCTTCCACTAATCAGAAATAGACCACACTCAGTCCTGAGATTAAAAGGCACCTGTAACTCCCAGGAGCCTTATTTTTTACATTTATATTATTAATGGTATTTGAATATTGCTTTTTAGCCCTAATGATTCTCCAAGTGGTTCAGAATAATAATAAAGCAACAATAAAGCAATCCATCCTAAAACTAGAATTACCAATTATGAAACAGCAGATCAAATGCCCTGCAGGCTCAGAATTCTAAAATAAGGCAAAGAGGATAAAGCTGGTGATAATTTCCATCTGTCTTCACAGCTGGACCAGACGGGAGTGAGTGCCTGTGTCAGTGGGTTCATGAGCCTTGACATCCCAAAGCCTGTTGGCCCTTTATGGATCCTGGGTGACGTCTTCCTCCGAAAGTATTACTCCGTCTTTGACCGAGATAACGACCAAGTTGGCTTAGCTGTTTCCAAGCAATCCATATGTGGCGACAGTGGCACTGGCACCGGAGGACCGACTGCAGCTCCTGACACAGAAGGGACGACGGCCATTCCAAGGACAGAAAGTGTGACCAAGAAGTGTTAGTTGTCTAGTGTTGCATGGTGCAAAAAGTGGGAACGGAAGTCCTGCATGAAGAATACTTTGCCTGGTAGCACTGGCGGGATTCTGTAACATGGAGTGTGCACTCATCCGCTTTCTAATTGAGAATAATTCCTTTTTTAAACAACACCATGCTTCTAATCCTCACAGTAGTGGAGAGGAAAATAATTATCATGAGGTTCTCTAACCCAGAAATTATTCTTTTATCTTTAAGTGTATTGAGGAATCTGGAAATGATGTGCCTGGAGCTTCTTCCATTTGATTTTCCTCCCCCCACCCATCCTTCATCATCCCCCCAAAATGCTCTGACTTGTTCTTACAGCCTAATCCTACGCACGTCTACTCAGAAGTGATTCCACTGGCATGTAAGTAATATCCATATAAATTGCCATTTTACCAAGGCTTCTGATTTGCGATTTTTTTGTGGGATTAAGATTTGGTTACACAAGGGTCCTTTTTCTGCCTTTCTTTTGTTCCATTGCACAACCACCAGGTGTCACTGTAGTATAATGAGACTGTGCAAATATAGGTGGGTTTCATGTAGCCATTTACAGATAATACCAAACTTTGCTTGTTCTAAAAAACAAAAAAATCACAGAATCATTTCAAAGAACAAGAGAAGCCTCGGAAGAGGATGAAGCACCCACAGACTGTGCTGAGATCACAATAAATGCCTCAGGCAGAAAGGCTTATACTTGCTTGGAAGTAAACATGAATAAGAGTACAGCCTGTAGAAAACCTGCTTGCCTAGCAAGAGCAGGAGGGGTGCCGGTCCAAGGAAGGGGGCAGAAGTCACTGCTGCATGGCCTCCTGAAAGGGAAAGTCTCTGGCTGGTACCCTGATAACCAAAGGACAGCCATTATTGCCAAAGGAGATGGGGCAGCTGACTTTGTGAGACCAGAGATCTCAAGCAACGCAAAGAGGAGCGGGGTTTTCTTCCCCTCCCCGGCTGGCTCAGTGCCGCAAGATGATTCAGTGTGATGATGTAACATTCTGGGCCAATTTGCATTCAGAAGGTGGTGGGATCCATTCCAACCTTTCTCTAGCAAAATAAGGATTCTAGGCAGCTGAGCTGGGAGAGCCAATCGTCCACTTAAGAACTGCTTCCAGTTAGAGTGCACAGCACTGAATGAGATGGACCCAACTTACAGCTATTTTATTCATTTCTCATATGGGTGTGGGACCTTTCAGGGGCTGCAACCTGGTGGTGGGTGGAGCCAAAGACAGAAAGGGTGGAGCCATGAATACCAGATTGCCTCTGATGTCAGAGCCAGCATCAAGGGTGGGTGTGGCCAGTCATTCAGGGAAGGGGCCTGGAATATACGGGGGGGGGGGGTCACCTCTCCGCACAACATGCATGGCCTTCCGTTCTGTTTTGCATTTAAAGTGCCCCCTCACTGGAAGTGTTTGAGCAGGAACTGGACAGCTTCCTTACTGGAAGAAGGTCTAAGCTCTGGAATTCCTGCACTGATAATGGGTTTAGGCTAGGAGACCTGAAAAAATCTTTAAGGCTATTTCTCCTTGGCATTCAAGAATAACAATATTAAATTCTATTCTATGTTCTGCACATATTCATGCAAATCAAGCCAATGTGCATTCCATGCACGATTTTATTCTGATTCTTCTAGACCTCTTGAGGGCAAGAAGTTAAATCGAATTCCAAATCCTTTCTGCTTCACTTGTCCAGTGGAACTCTGATCTTGCCAGCCCCTCTGATTTTCTGAGATTTGAGCAGGGATGGCCCACATGCTTCCAAAAATATGGTTGGACCTATAAGAGCTAGAAACATGTCTATTTTAAATGATACAAGGTATTCCCAGCCAGCAGAATCCTGTCCCCAATTCTGCTACACAGGTTCAAAATAGTGTGATGCACATATTCCCGGTCTCAGCAGTTATATCTTCCAGGGCCTGGAATACACTCCTTGATGCGTCTGCTGATGTCTACTGTGAGTTTGCAGGCACAAGGGCTAATAAAACTGATCAAAGACAGAATTGATTTCTGAGAGCAAACAATTCTAGCAAATGGCAGCCTGTGTTATCTTTACTATGCGCACAATATAAAGAGGGCACTATCCAATGTTTAAATTATATCATGGCAAATCCTATCATTTTAGGCTTGAGGCACATAATAGGCGGAATGAGGCGGCAGAAAGAATTTCACCTTTGTTCAGAAGGCGAGTGGCAGAGATTCCATGTATTGTAACAAACTACCTGCAGGTAGATATCCAGCAAGGATGATACCTTTCTCCCCGATACGCTAGATTGCTATGTACATGGAGTTCTTTAACAGGAGGAATAGACAAGAATTATTTCTTTCTCTTGTTGTCTTAATTCTCACCTCACTCTAGCACAAGGGTAAACTCACTGTGAGTCCTATGATTCCAAGTGGGGCAGGTAAAGGGAGAGGTTCCAAAAAAGCTCCCACCATCCCTAAAATTGGCTAGGTTGGCCTGGGCTAATGGCAACCTCTGGAAAGCCACCCCTTCCCACTCCTGGTATATTTGAATGGAAAACTGCCAATGCCATGGGGCTTAGCCTGGCACAACTGATTGCCACAGGTCTTCCGTGTTTGCATGTACAGATCCATGTCAGTTCAAGTTTTCCTTCGGTGAGGCAACCAGGGAGTTGCTAAATATCACCCTTCTGCACCTTCCCCAAGCCGCATGCCTCCAGATGTGCTGGACTCCTATCATCCCCAGCCAGGCTCATAACAGGATGGGAAGCAATCCACATGGTGAGTCCTTCCAGATGTTACAGACAGGATAGAGGTTGCTAAGTTCTTTACAGCAACTCTGAATGCTGCAGCACTGAATGTAAGCAATTCATTCTTCCCTGCTGATAGATAGCATTTTTGAAGCATTTAGTAACATTAAGAATACTTCCCTGATGTAGTATTGCAAGTTCCTAGAAAAATCAGAATTTTAGCTAAGTTAATGGGCTGGCTGGAATCTGTTTTGTTTCCAGATATGCCTGTTTTCCTGCTCTGTTCTGCTATTCCTGAATAAACATCTTTAGTTTAAGAAGTTCTGTTTTGCCTTAGTTTGTTTAATTTCTCTGGCTTGCCAATGTGACTTATTGCCATGAGGCTTCACATTTTCTTTCGGAGGTTGAATCGTGCAGTGCAAACAACCCAGCCAGAAGCTGGGGGAAAGCAATATTTCCCTGAATCCCAGTGAAGTGGTACATAATTCTGGAAAGGCATTCCAGATGCATTTAAATGTTCCAGAGGTTGCAGCTTTTGATTGTGATGCAACTGCCTACTGCATTTTGGGGTACCACTTTCTTGCTCTCCATCTAACCTTCCTCATTGGATAGTTCTGGGGACACATATGGAGAAAACCATGTGTACCTTGGACTCCTGCAAGGGAAGGTGGGATTTAAATATAGGACATAAACAAACAAACAAATTGAATATTAAAAACAGTAATGTACTCAGTGTGTGGGAAATTTCAGTTCAAATCTCAGAATAATTTCCAAAGTGTCACCACCAAAACCAGCTGTCAATACTGCCTTGTACTTTAATTGGGATGTGCCCCAATAATTTCCTCCTTCCCTCACTATTGAAACCACCAAATAGTTGATAAAGCAAGTTAATTTTGTTTTGTTTTGTTTATCAAACAGCTGTAAAACATCTGCCCTGATTTATCTCAGAATTCTCCCTTTCAAGACTTTCCTGATGTGTTTTCCCAAATCCTCTCTCTGCCCCCAAATTGCCCCTTTTTTGCAGCAAAAGAAAATTGTGTGGAGAGGCTAAACCCCCATGTCCATCTGCCTCCTTTGATACCCAGGGTACTGTGCCAGGCTTCATCAGTCCAGCGCCCTCCAAGTGCCCTGCACTGCAACGCTTATCCTCCCTAGCCAGTATGGCCAACTGATGGTGGCGGTCGCAAGTCCAACATAAATTGGTTATGGGTTGCTGGGTTGGGAGAGGCTGCACCACGCAATTATTATTTAGCCAGTTTCGAAAGCAAGCGTCAATTGTTCTGATTAAACTCATGAGCCAGCGTGCCGTGCGCGGAGTGATCGCTGGAACTCTGGGGAGAGCTGTCGTGTACGGCTGTCAGGCGCTGCAGGGACCCACCTGCTATTACAAGACAGCAGCCAAGCGATGCTTTCCCAGTGATCAAACAGGGTCTCGCAGAACAAACGAGGCTGTTTAACAGTCTGGTGTGTGGCTCTGTGTGCCTGTGTCCGAGTGACAAATTTTAACTCTCTGCTTCCTCCCAGCATCTTTCACTGTGCCCTAGTGCCTCATCAGGCGAAGGTACTTGGCACAAGAACGTGCAAGTGCTTTGTTCTGGTAGATGGGAAATTAGGAATGGCAGAATGGAATCGGTTTATATGTGGAGTAGCAGACAACTGTTATAAAATAATAATAAACAAGATTTTCACATTCCTCCATGTTTCACCTTGCTGCTCCTCTCTCTCTGTTCTCACTTATGAATGGGGTTTTTTTTCCTGTACAGGAGCAGTGTACATTTACACACAAACAAATGAACAAGTTCATTCTTCTGAGCACACATGCCAAATGTGGCAAATGTACACGTTTTGAAGCAGGCACTTGTGCTAGTGAGCATTTTTGGAAGTGCATCCTTAAACAGTTGCACATTTTTAGAAATGCACCCATTGGTATATGCACTCTTTTGAGCACAAGTGCAAGCTTGAGAAATTGCAAACATTCTCGAAGCATTGGTCTGTTGTTCATGTCTGAGATTGAAAAAGACTATATTGCATGCTTTGGACTTCTCATATCCTCCTAATCCAAGCTGATGCCATCACCTTCCACAGCTAGCCCATAATTTAGGGCTTGCCCAAGATATCCTGCTGTTTTCTACAGTTTAAGGCAGGTAGCTTAGAGGCCCAGCTGTGAGGCACCAAGACTGGTCTAACCCCCTTGGCAAAGACATTCCAGCAACCCGCATGCTTGGTGCATGTGCATTCCAAGAAATTGCATCTGAGCAGAGACAACCCAAGACGGTTATA